TAAGACGCTCTTGATGCGACGTTTAACTTTCTTTGAGAAGTCTTAAGACGCTCTTGATGCTACGTTGTACCCTTTCTTTGGAGAACCTCTTAAGACGGCTCTTGATGCTTACGTTTAACCTTTCTTTGGAGAACTCTTAAGACGCTCTTGATGCTACTTTCAACCTTTCTTTGGAGAACCTTAGACGCTCTTGATGCTAACCGTTGTAACCTTCTTGGAGAATCTCTTAAGACGCTCTTTGATGCTACGTTGTAACCTTTATTTGGAGAACTCTTAAGACGCTCCTGATGCTACGTTGTAACCTTTCTTTGGAGAACTCTGAAGACGCTCTTGATGCTACGTTGTAACCTTTCTTTGGAGAACTCTTAAGACGCTCTTGATGCTACGTTGTAACCTTTCTTTGGAGAACTCTTAAGACGCTCTTGATGCTACGTTGTAACCTTTATTTGGAGAACTCTTAAGACGCTCTTGATGCTACGTTGTAACCTTTCTTTGGAGAACTCTTAAGACGCTCTTGATGCTACGTTGTACCCTTTCTTTGGAGAACTCTTAAGACGCTCTTGATGCTACGTTGTAACCTTTCTTTGGAGAACTCTTAAGACGCTCTTGATGCTACGTTGTAACTTGCTTTGGAGAACTCTTAAGACGCTCTTGATGCTACGTTGTAACCTTTCTTTGGAGAACTCTTAAGACGCTCTTGATGCTACGTTGTAACCTTTCTATGGAGAACTCTTCAGACGCTCTTGATGCTACGTTGTAACCTTTCTTGGGAGAACTCTTAAGACGCTCTTGATGCTACGTTGTAACCTTTCTTTGGAGAACTCTTAAGACGCTCTTGATGCTACGTTGTAACCTTTCTTTGGAGAAGTCTTAAGACGCTCTTGATGCTACGTTGTAACCTTTCTTTGGAGAACTCTTAGGACGCTCTTGATGCTACGTTGTAACCTTTCTTTGGAGAACTCTTAAGACGCTCTTGATGCTACGTTGTAACCTTTATTTGGAGAACTCTTAAGACGCTCTCTATGAAGAAATCCATAGAAGTTCTGGCTGCAGCTGCCTTGCACAGAAAACCTGGCTTGGTGACTGTAGTGAAAGCTATGGCGAAATTTCGCCAAGACACCCGTGGATTGCTGAACCTGGCACCTCGGGATTGTTTCAAACCAGATATGCAATACTGATTGCACAACGCATGAGTCAAAAAACCATGAACGCGATAACGAGTTCGCACTGGACATTGATTTAACATGCACTTTCATGGACTTGATAACCTTTCAAGCGACGGCGAACGTCCCGTCCTGCGCGTGCATATATGTATATATACACACATGTGACACGTGTCCATATACCGTACATACCCCTGTTTTCTCGTTAGAAACCGCTGTTGAATCCCTTGTTTGGAATCCCGGTAGAAATTCCTGTTTCCGCGAGAAGTCTTTAGGAGAAACCTGGCGTCCGGCCACGACCTCTGAAAAGTGTCTCCCTGAAGTTGGCCAAAGGCGATGGCAGTGTGGAGCCCCAGGATTTTTTTGTGAAATTCTTGGGGAAATTCAACGGATTGCACATAGGACAGTCTCATCTGACTGGATATGATATATCATCATATTTTTTTGAAGAGAAAAGTATATAGCCAACATTGATGATATTAATAATATTAGATATGAATGAATAGATGAAAAATCATCGGACATGGCATACAGTCAGTGCCAGAATTAAAGAACGGAGCCAGGAGTACAAAAGTACGGTAAAATACCGTACCTTCGTACTCCTCCGGATCCCGATTCCGCGCGGATTCGGATCCGTTCTATAATTAAATTTCCCCGTTCTATAATTAAATTGCTCCGTTCTATGATTTCTGGCACCTCCATGATATTTACTGCATATTTGTACATATACAATCTATAAAATGAAGATTTAATGAGGATTTAATGAGGATTTGATGAGGAAATGAAGATAAAATGAGGATAAAATGAAGATAAAATGAGGATTTGATGAGGAAATCAGCATAAAACGCGGATAAAATGAGGATAAAATATGATAAAATGAGGATTTAATGGGGATTTGATGAGAAAATGAGGAAATGAGCTCTTTCTGGGACCCCGGAAGAGGTTCTATAATGTCAATAATCAATTTTTCCGTTCTATAATTAATTTTGCCGTTCGACGGAAAAATTAATTATAGAACGGAGAAAATTAATTATAGAACGAAAATGGGAAATGTGAGAAAAATGGGGGAAAACAGAATTATAGAACAACAGCGCTCCGACAAGAATTATAGAACGACGAAAAAAGTTAGGAGTAAATTCAGATACGTTTTTTTTTCATACCTTCCGAGGAAAACAGAATTATAGAACAACAGGGTACGGTAAATAACCGTACCTTTGTACTCCTCAACTTCCGTTCTATAATTCCGGCACTGACAGTATATCACCAATATTTTTTACAAGAAATGGCTATGGATCGAGGTCCCACGGCCGCGACACGCTCCAACTCTGCAGGCCCTGGGGACCATGGTGAAGTTTCACCCCCAAAAATACCATTTTTCATCGAAGCATGGCTTTTTCAGATGTTTCAAGCATCTTGAATTTTTGAACAAATGGTTTCTATATGATTTTTGAAGAATTTTGAATTGAAAACAAACAGTGGATTCTTGAAGTTTTGAAGCAATGGACATAGGCATTTGACATAAAGAATGGTGGTTCGAGCCACCAATACTCTTTCGCGCCCACAAGACTAGTGAAAGAACGAATGATGAGGATACATCCTCAGTAACAATGGTGATCATCAGGCTCCAACTGTGCCGAACACGGACATTAGACGATCACCAACTCCTTCAAATTGGTTGGTGCCTCGAAAGTAGGAGCAGCATGGGGCTCCGGAGAACTGCTGATCGATGGGCGGCAATGTATCCACAAGGTGCGCTTGGGTGCCGTGGTGAGTGAATACCTCCGTGTAACATCAGCTCGCTAAACTTCAGAGTCAAACCAAAAAGCCTCCCATGCTCAGCAGAGCCAAAATCCAACGCCCCAGTGCTCAGCTGTTTATGGAAGTCCTTTATATTTAGATGTTTTTTCTACTGAACGAAATATCGTTTCCGAAACAACGCCGTTTCCCACTGCCATGTGTTTTTTTTTTGTCAGATGAGCAACTTACCATGGCAATAAATCACATTTATAGTTTCAAGCATTGGATCCTGCCAATCCTGCAAGGTCACAGTTGAAAAAACCAGGTTTCACCGGAACCTCCTTTTTCAATTTGCAGGAATGGGGTGAAAAACCTTCTGGTGAATTTTTGTTTCCGCAACTCATAGTTTCCGCAACTGTCCCATGACTGTCCTCCGATTCCATAGATCTACTAAACCCAGGTTTTGGGGACGAAGGGGTGACCAGGGCTTAGTTTGGGTCTGGGAAGGGATTAATCTGTACACTGTTTCCAGTATCTCAGTATGTGAAATAGATTTTTCCAGCTGTGAAAGGTTTTTTTTTGCATATTTTGTTTTGGATGGGCTTTTCCCACACTTAAATTCCAAGAAATGACATAGAAATCCCAGGAAAACATTCCAAAAACATCCCATAAAAATATCCAGGAAACATCTCACTGCCACAGCTCCAGGCTGGAGCTCCTGGAGCTTCCGGAGCTTCTGGACCCGATCGACGGGGCACAGAGGCGACCGGTCAACGGTGGATTCTTTCATTGACCAACATATGTCGAATGGATCAATACCTATTAATACCATTTTTAGTGGGATGAACATCCATCAATCCCAGCTATTTTGATGTGAACTACAGGGGTATAAGGTTTTGACACACTGCCATATGTCGAATGGAGGATTGATTTGGATTTGAGTGAACGAATTTTTGAGGGAAAAATGATGATCACCCATCAAAGTTAGGGCTACGACATATTTGCGGACAAAGCCGCGACACGGCAATGGGGCACATAACTAGCACTGCGATGATCAACCACTGGATTTTCCCCATGTTTTGACCCACAACAGGAAGTACTGCGGCTGGCATTCTTTTCGTTGATGAAAAGAGAATGATAAAAGCCAAGCAACACCAAGCAACATGGCAAACTTATTTGTTGGTATAAAGCATCCAAAATTGGCAAGGGTTGGTACTTCAACAAAAATAATGAGAGTTGGTCACTTGCCTAACTCTTTGACAATTTTTTGGCAAGTTGGTACCCCCAAATCTGACTGTTCGAGAATTCGTTTGGACAAAAATTGGCAAACAAACCATATCTGACATTATCTGACAAGGTTTTCCCATAGTTGGTTCGAGGTTTGTAAATCCATGGCTTCCTCATAGATCTTCCCAGCGCTCAGGCTGATAAAGCTGGTCGTCGACCAAGCGCCCTGCCAAGGTGACCTTGCACGAACAAATCATCGAACAATAAACATATGGAAATGGTGATAACTCATGGATTACTAATGGATTTTTGGCTTATTTTTTGGATTGCTATTTTTTTTTCCCGTTTTGTTTTTCTTTTTAGAATTCTGCTTCCCAGCTTCTCTGCTTTTCAGCTTTTCCCTGCTTTTCCCTGCTTTTCCCTGCTTTTCCCTGCTTTTCCCTGCTTTCCCTGCTTTTCCCTGCTTCTCTGCGTCTTTGATTTTCTGCTTTTCTGCTTTTCTGTTTCCTTGCCTCTCTGCTTCTCCGCTTTTCTGCTTTTCCCTGCTTTTCCCTGCTTTTCCAGCTTCTCTGCTTTCTGCTTACTTGCTTCTCCGCTTTGCCCTGCTTTTCTTTTGTTTCTCATACTGTAAATAAACCCTGAGAAACATCATATAAAGCATAAATCCTAAGTCAACCCGAAATAAACCACCAAACAAACAAAAAACACTAAAGCAAATCTCTAAGCAAGTAAACCCTAAACGTTCGCTAAATAAATCTGAAACCAATCCAAAAAAACCCTAAACCCACACCAAAAAACCTCACACCAACCCTAAATAGATCTTAAACCAACCCCAAGTAGATGTTAAACCAAACCTAAATAAACATTACACCGACCCTGAATAGACCTTAAACCACACCTAAATAGCGCCTAAACCAACCCTAAACAACGATTAAACCATCCCTAAATAGGTCCTAAACCAACTCTAGATAGATCCTAAACCAAGTCTAAATAGACCCTATATAAAAACCAACCCTGAATAGATCCTAAACCAACCCAACATGGATATTAAACCAAGCCTAAATAAACCTCAAACAACCCTAAATAGATCTTAAACAAGGCCTAAATAGATCCTAAACCAGCCCTAAACAAAGCTTAAACCAACCCCAAATAGGTCCTAAACCAACTCTAGATAGATCCTTAACCAAGCCTTAGTAAGCCCCAAAACCAACGCTAAAAAGATCCTAAACCGACCCTAAATAGGTCTTAACCAAGCCTAAATACACCCTAAAACCAACCCTGATCCCGAACCTTCCCTAAATAGATTTTAAAGCAAGCCTAAGTAAATCCTAAAACCAACCCTAAATAGATCCTGAATAAACCCTAGCTGAAAAACCAACGCTTAAAACACCTAAAACATCCTAAAACCCACCCTACCAGAAACCCTAAACTAACCCTAAAACCAACCCTAAATCAACCCTAGTTGCAAAATACCATATTCCAGGAACAGTTCAAGCACCAAAATATTGAATTCCTTCGAAAATGAGAAGTAAAATGCTGCAATTGGCACCAAAATGTTGCAAATTCCATAGAAAATGGAAGGTTCGAACTCAAAATGCTGCAAATGCCGTTGAAATGGCACCTTCCAGCTCCAAAATGCTGCAAAATACCAAGGAAAATGGACAGAACAGGAAATCCAAAAAAAAAGCAAAACGGTAAAAAAAAAATCCCCAAACAATTCCGGACCCATATTTTTCATTCATTTTTTTTTGTTTCCCCCTGGTGTTAACCAATGGAAGACCCTTAATCCATTGCATTTTTTCAAAAGTGGCTTCAAGAATGCAGAATCACCCAAGGATTTAAGCAACAAAAACGGGTTACAATGAGCAAACGAGGGAATTTGAAGGACATGAAAAAGGCAGTTTTATACAAATCAATTTATACGAAGATGGTTGAATTCCTGAAGTTTCAAAGACTTCATGTGGTAAACCCACTAAACAATCTGATTGACCATCTATTACGAGGTGATAATCAACATGATCCCATTTCTAAGGGTATACCCAATTCAAATAAAAACTATTGGGGATGGTTTATGGCACTGGGTTTACCTCATCATGGCACCGTCTCCAAATGGTTTCATCGTTTCATCTCTTCGGACTGCCTGCCTTGGCCGTCCAGCGATATTTCAGACACGACGACTTGAGCCTGGATTTGGTCAATGGAATCCAGTGTCACCAATTTTTGTTGCAGAGTATAAACCCAAATCCAGATCGAGCAACAGGACTTTTGCACACTGCTTACCTAATTTTTGACATGTTGTGGATAGGGATGATGTGAATTCGGTCTTTGCCAAGAGCTCTTTTATCATTTTATGGATGACTTCCTGCTGTGAAAGGTCGGAGTTTATCGAGACGCCCGCAGTGACCCCAGCTGACAGTTCTTCTGTGTCTCCCAGAAAAATAAACAGTAGCTTGACGAAAGTCCTTCGGGGGCCAAATCATACTAATATATACTAAATGTTACTAAAGCAATAATTCTAAGCAGCCATATTTTGATGATACTGACGTAAATGTATGCTAATGTTACTACAGCAATATACAATTCCAAGTATATTTTTGATGGTTGGAATCTCAGCCATGGTCCGCCATGGTAAATTTGGGGTCACCATGGTCACTCAGGCCAGGCCTCCAGGACTTCCCAAGGCACTGAAATCCTTGTGACGTGGGTTCTAAAGTCCTGGGGATCCCCTGATGACTGCGATCACCTCATGACGCACCTGTGAGGCTGCGCCAAGCACGAGGTCGCTCGAGCCAGAAACCACCCGGAATCAAATCCTGACAGCTTCTGGTGCGAACTCCCCATAAAAATAGATGATCTTCATATAGCAGCAATTTTACAAAGCAACATTGTGATCAACCATAAGATCTTAGTGGATTTCAGCAGTTTTTCCCGATTTTGTGACAGCTCAGTTCATATCCGACCAAGGCCAACTGCGGCTGTTCCGGATGATGAGGCCGAGGCGAGTCAACGCCGTTTTCGAAATGTGTTGACTAAAAAGGGATCTCCAAATGATAGTAACACAAGAATCATTATAGTAATATAATAATAATAATCATCATCATCATCATTTTCATTATTGAATAAGTTGCTATTATCATTACCAATCATGATCATATAATTATCCATTTGAGTAGAGTATGGAATTTTCAAAGATATTCCCCATTAGTAGATAGAGGATGTTTTGAAATTTACATATTCTACTCAGGATGCCTAGAAATGGAAATTGGTATTCCCTTCGATGTTTTTTTTCTTTGGTCGGCCGTTCGAAATTCGTTGATTTTGGTTTCCCCACAAAAAATAACTCCAGCAGCAAGTGGAGTGGTCGGTAACTGGCTCGTAAGTCCCTAAGAAGCGGCAATTTTTAGTAGCCATAGTGGCCCCACTTTTGGGACCATATGCATCCTACAATGTGGTGTCCCCCAGTCATGTTCATTGGTCACTGTAACTAGTTCGAATATATGAAAAAAACCACAGGTACATTAATTCTAAAGTCAGCAACTTAGCGACAAAGAGCTCACCGGTGCACCGCAGCCGAACACAGGCTCGGCCAAGCAGTGCTTCGTACCAACGTGCGGCGGCCATCTATGCATCCTTGCCGACGCCAGGTGACTTCCAAGATGCTGTGTGTAGTTAAATGTGGACGCCGGACATGTTTTTTTTTGATTCCAAGACATTTTTCGAACAGTTTTGAGTTGTGCAGATTTAGCGAATTCCAACATCTTCGCCTGGATACACCTGGAAGGTGGCACTCGAACCTTGGTTCGAGATGCCGATGGCTTCATCTTCCGACCCACAGTGGAGGCGGGCGGAGTGGCGTCAAGATGAATCCCATCCCTAGCCCCCAAAGTTGAGATGGACAAATAAATGACTTTTCGACATTTTGAGGATCACTATGATATTGAAATATATTGAATACAGTTGCTCATAACCCCGCATTTGGGACCCCCAAAATAGATAACTCTAATTCAAAACCATTGTTTTTAGAGGTGCATTGATGCCAGTTCTGGGGCTGAAAGACCATGATTTAGATCAAACTTGGGCACCTTGCAGAGTCTTGTGGGTACTTGACATCAAAATATGTCAGATGGAGGCTAAATTATATGAACAAACATGAAAAAAACATATCTTAAAACTCATACCGACTCATATTTTAGTGGGGCAGCATTGCCTGGCAACCGGCCATCAAGGCAGAAGTGAAGGCTGCCCCTCCCCAGCGTCTCAGACCCGGGAGGTGGGGACTGCCAGTGGAAGCCCAAAAGACAATTTTTTTGGATGTCTCCAAGATAGAAGAGTTACTACTCTTTAGATTGACGCTACTGTTGCATTTTTCAAACATATCTGTAACCATGTTGCAATATATTGGTGATTCTAAATGATAACTACTGTAGGATTTTCAACTGAAAACATAGGATGAACAGGTACTGGCACTATTTCTGTTGGGAAGTTTGGGAACCTTCACATCTTTTTGACCAGGAGCTGATTTCCTGAAAAAGCAATGCTCATTCCATGTCGCGGTACCCCACGCGTCTCCAAAGCACTAAGTTTTAGTTTTCTTGTGCTTCGCAACTTTTAAGTCCTCCAATATCTGGGGTGCTGAGAATATTGGAGAAACAGCATATCTCTCACGTTTTCAGCGCTGGCTTTCCTGTTGAGTCCGACGGCCTCGTGCCAGTCGCGGACTGAACGAGTTGGTGGCTTCCCTCACAAAGCCGAGGTGATTTTGCCAAGCCATGGGGACTTCATGGGATATAGATGGGATTTCGTATATGAAACCGGATACAATAGGATATGTGTGTATATATGTCTCTCTCTCTCTCTCTCTATATGTATATATATATATATATTCTCAGCAGCGAATCTGTTGGGTTTCAATCTCTGGGGCCGGGGACTGGTGAAACGAAAATGCACGCCCCGAAAAACTGGAACAGTCCTGGAATCTTGCTGGAACCTTTCGCTGTTGGGTTGCAAAGCTGGGCCAATGTATGTATATGTATATGTATATGTATGTATATATATATATATACATATGTATGTATATGTATATATGTTTGTATATGTATATACACATATACATACATGTATATATTATATGTATGTATATATATATATACATATGTACATATATACATGTACACACACACATTTATGTATGTATATATATATACATATAAACACGAAGATATGTCCAATTGGGGTTTGTCCATGGGTATGAAAAGGTAATTTCAGAATTTTGATGCGGGAAGCGGTAAAAAACAATGGGTACCAATTTTCATACAAATCCATTTCTTTCTCAAACAGACCATGAAATGATATGAAATGCTGTTGAATTGACATTGAAATGATGTCCGAATGATATTGAATCGACTATTTGATTTTAGCTTCTGGGGTCTACAATTTTGGATACCAAGCTGGACAACTGAAAGTTCAAAGTAGTAGGGTCCCAGAAACCTCTCTATTTATTCTATTTGGACGCAAGAGAACTTCTTATTTCAAAGGAACGAGTCCTGTTTTTCCAGACTTTATGGGACATTTTCACAGGAAACCCAACCAATTCGGGGGTCATTTTATCACCATATGGTTAGTTAAACCAATCAGCGAAGACGTTGCAACGTCAGGGAAAATCCCCGTCCCGCTGAAGCCCATCCTGTGGAGGCGCATGGGTTTACCATCATAGGGAGAATGATGGGAAATATGACAAAAATAGGGATAATGGGTCTTGATGGGATTTGATGGGATCTTTTACATGGATATATGATCTTTTGATGGGATTTGATGGGATCTAAAAAAAAATGCAGATCTTTTGGATACTATCATCATTTGATGGATTATTCATGCCCACTGATGGAAATAGTTTTGCTTATCACTAAACCTAGGTGCGGATATGTTCATAGCTCATCAATTAGTTGTGGGTGTGGGTAAGACCAGAATAGTTGATAAAACAAAGCCAGTTCCCAAATGTAAATGCGCTCTTTGTGCTCGTTGCCGCGATAGCACCCAAATTCCAAGAAGGTTTTTTTGCCTCATGCACTGTCACAGCTTGGATTGGCCAGCGGCAGGGGCTTGTCAACACTCGCACTAGTCGGACACAACGATATCTGACTCATGTCGTACGTCTTGTTCTGAGGCCAGTTGGTCCATCATGCAATTGTTGTTAAACATCTACTTAACATCTACCACCAGTCGAGAAATCTTGGGTATCAACCATTTTTGGACAGACCCAAATATCGTATTGGTTGTATACTGTATATCCAACTAATATCCATTAAAATCCGTTGTAGCTCCCATTATATATATATGTATAGACTTATATCCATAAGTTCGATACAATTGGGATGTCAATGGATATCTATTCAAATGTTTCCATAAATTATCACATAGAATAGGGATATATACATCTATATACATGTCTATGTATACATATACATATACATATACATACATATATATGTATACATATGTACATATATATGTACACATATATATATATACACATACATATACGTCTATAGATATATATAGCACATATTCTGCATTGCAAAAGAGTGTGGCAGGTGCCCCGTGGCGTCTCGACGGATTTGCCGGATCGGCCGGATCGGCCGGAGCCGCGCATTGCCTGGAGCGAAGGTGGATCCCGAGCTTGGATCGCCTTTCATGACCTGGGAAACCTACAAAAAGCTATGGAAAATCACCAAAATCACCATTTTTCATAGGTAAAATCAACTATAAATGGCAATTTTCAATAGATATGTTAAATTGCCAGAGGATAGCCATGTCATTTCCAGGAGATTTTAAGCAGAGGTGATACAATCCATATTTTAAGCAGAGGTGATACAATCCATATATTAATATATATATATAATCCATATCAGATTTCCATCACATTTGGATAGCCATTGGCTAGCTACATAGTTGACATGTTTTTCCCCAACAATGTCAGCTAATGGGGTCTTCAGCCCAGAATAGCTCCGATATGCACTGGTGCAGGCGCCGGGTCAGGTTCAACGAGGTTCCGGAGAAGGTTCCGAAGGTGTGAGAGACAGGTCAGGTTCAACAGGGTTCCGGAGAAGTTTTCGGAGAAGGTTCCGGAAAAGGTTCCGGAGAAGCTGGGAGGCTTTGGTGCAAAGCCAGGTCAGGTTCAACAGGGCTCCGGAGAAGGTCCCCGGAGAAGGTTCCAGGAAGCCTTGGTGCAAATCCAAGTCAGGTTCAACAGGGTTCTGGAGAAGGTTCTGGAGAAGGTTCCGGAGAAGGTCCGGGAGGCTTTGTTGCAGAGGCAGGTCAGGTTCAACAGGGTTGCGGAGGAGGTTCCGGAGAAGGTTCCGGAGAAGGCTTGGGAGGCTTTGGTGCAGAGCCAGGTCAGGTTTAACACGGTGCCGGAGAAGGTTCCGGCGAAGGTCTGGGAGGCTTTGGTGCAGAGTCAGGTCAGGTTCAACATGGTTCCGGAGAAGGTTCAGGCGAAGGTCTTTTGGTGCAGAGTCAGGTCAGGTTCAACATGGTTCCGGAGAAGGTTCCGGGAGGCTTTGTGCAGAGGCAGGTCAGGTTAACAGGGTTCCGGAGAAGGTCTGGGAGGCTTTGGAGCAGGCTGAGGTGTTTCCAGCGCTTGGCTTCGCAGCACGCTTCAGAAAAAAATTGTAAAGATAAAACGTTGCGGCTATTGGGGATACCACCGAAGCTTATTTTTTTTTTGGGAGCTGGGAATTGCCACAAAATGGTTTATATTAATATCAGATGATATATGCCATTTTGGAGATGTTTCTATGAAGTACCTGTAGTAAACTTTTGACCTCCCATTGACCCCATCGTTTTTGTGTCGGTCATTTTCTCCGCAGCCCCGGTGATGTGATTTTGTTGCGACGTGTTCACCAGGCGGTAGCGTGTTCAGCCGCTCCGTTGGGATGATTGATGTGACACCCAATTTCTGATCTGGATAGGATTTACTACTGGAAAACATCAATCATCAATCATATTTTTCATGATTCCAGAATCAATCACCCCCAAATTCCTTTGGATATGATTGACCTCTTGAATTGTCAAATATGAACCGACAGGTTGACCCCTGAATGATGTACCTACCGCATCCATTCGCTGCTTTTCCAGACACGTTGACGAGGCGCACCCGATGATGCGGTGGAGAACTTCTTTGATGCGTGGGACTCCACAGAAATCTGGGGACAAGGCCAATCCTAAGTAGAAACAAGGTGATGCAAACTGTGAGAAGGTTGACACTACATTTCACTAGATTTTGATGGGTCTTATATAAATACATCCAGTAAAACCTCTCAGGCATTCGGGAGACAAAATCCATCCTTCTAGCACTCCCCAGATAGAAAGTTGGAGACCTGGAAATCCATGGAATTCATGGGGGCAGGATCATCAGAAAGACATGAGTCGACAGGGCACCGCGATGAGTCGTCAGCGAGGTCCGACTTGGCCGCACAGATCCGGCGGGATTGGTTGGCGAAGCAGCTGTCCGAGCTGGAGGCCCCTGGCTTGGGATCCCTTGGAGCTTGGGATCCCATGGCTTGCTCAATGGGCCCATAGCCCAAAATTGGATGGTTTTTTCCATCTTCATTGTCCTTTTTTTTTTGATGGCCATTTTTAGACACACCCCGTTTTGATTCCTAATGGGTCAACGATGGGGATGTGGATTTCGCCGATGTAGCCAAGAAAATATGAGATTTACCACCAACATGGTGGGATAAGCAGCAAAGAACGAGTCCATTAGCCAACAACTAGAGGAAGGTTGTGGTTGTGGTTGTGGTTGTGGTTGTCGTCGTTGTCGCTGCTGCTGTTGTGGTTGTTGTGTGGGGAGAATGGTTCAGGTGGTAGCTCTCCGGGTGCTGAGTTTTGTGAGATTCTGCTACAGAAAATGGCCGCAGCAGTGCGCACTTACATTACCTCCATTAGCCTGCGCGTGGCTCACCAACATTTTCTCAATGCAGTAGCAACACCCTCACTTTCGAGACTCACCGTACCTTTGCTTTGGCTTTCTTGGTGACTTCCCCTCATTCCATTATATCTCAGGAGGTTATTTGTCTTCCATGAAAAAGGTTCACTTCACTGATGCGTTCCCTGCATACTCAGTGGATTGAAGTGCTTCCAGCATTGTTCACCTTCCAACCAAAAGTACAACGGTTTGTCGGATTGTTCCTTCTTTTTCTCCTGTCGCGCCTTATTTTGTCATGCTTTGGACTTGGCCACTTCGGATCGGTGAACAAAATGTGCTAATATCATGTCAAATATGCCCAAAATGCCGGTTAGCGTGTCAGTCCTTGGACGAAGGTATTGCACGATTTTCGTCAAAGTTGTAATGTGGTCGCACAAAAAAATCCATTAGCAGGTGCAAGATGGACCACATGTTGCATCCAACTACACATATTACTCATATTACTCATGCTCTTGTTGAACTGATTTGTTTTCTGCAAGTGCCAGGGTTGATGACCGTTTTAACCACATCCAGAAACACAGCCGGGAGCACTCTCGTCATATAATGACATTCGTTTATCCGCCAGCCCATGTTTGATTTTTTTTTTCAAGGGTTGTTTTGGGCGAGACTTTGGAGGTTGGATCCATTGGTAAGCTGCTAAATTCAGTCGTCCTGATCTGCGAGAAGAACTGTGGGACGTGGCTTCTTGTCCGTAACCTGAAGCAGAGGTCAGGTTATCATATACATCATATAAGAAAATGGACATCATAATTGGATTTCTTATTTTATCTGGTTTCTGTACATGTCACGGAAGTCCAAGGTTTTTCACTTAGCACAGATGCAAGTGGGCACCGCGAGCGAGAATTCACACCAGTTCACTATCACAAAATGTATTAAAATGTCATGAAGACCCTTCCACAGTGGCTGAATCCAGGATCGGATCTCACGTGTCCAGTGGAGGCAACTAGATGTCTGTAGGCCTGTAGGCAAAAATTTGTGACTCCAGTGGCTCCTCTTAGTTCAAGGGCCATTTGCTCTATGCTTCGGTAGCTGCAGAGCAGCTTGTGCATTTCAGGCTGGTGCGGCTGGTGAAAGATGTGAAATTTGTCAAAAGCTTCATGTTGATGGATTCAATGATGCAATGTTGAGAAGAATTTGATGGGACATTAAGCGCTAGGCCACTAGATAAATCATAAGTACACCTTATCCAAAGGCAGTTTCTTTCTGTGTAACACAGTGTAACACCGCCGGTGGGTTTGAAACGCCTGGAGGCCATCCATATCGCCTCCATGGGCTTCAACTATTTGTACCTTGTGGCTTTGCTCCTGGTTAGTCGACCCGCAGCGGTCAGACCAAGCACGGCTGGTGACAATGACGAGGATACCAACGAAGATGCCAACGGAGTTGACGATAGCACCATTGACATGACGACGGAGCCGAAAGTGACCCAAGGTGAAGTCCCGAATCACGGAAATTTGAATGGTAAACGCTCACCTCCTCACATCAATCATCACATCTGGGACATCCTTAAAGACTACCCGTCCTTGGTGCAGGATTTGCACCAGCATCCTCGCTGCCTCGAGGTTTTGGCCTTGGCCATCGAAAGCAACGCCATTGGGAATGAGACTGTCATGAACAAGAAGGACCATGGGCCACAGGACCAGGACCGGCTGGACCAGCAGTTGATGGACGAAATCGAGCGGCACAGGCAGTGTTCATCGTTGCTTTTTGGGATTCTTGTCAAACCTGATCCCTCTGGGATCAGGGACCTCTTCAAAGTGCACCCAGAGGGGTTCTTGTTGCTTGGACCAGGCGGGAGATATTTTTAGCCACGTACTGAAATTGTATTAGCCACGTACCTGCAGCAAAAGTCCTTAGCCTTGGACTGCGGTTTGGGTTAGCTTTGTCAAAATTCTATCTTAGCCGTGTATTGTGGTTGGCTTAGCTTCGTATTTTCTTTTCTTAGCCTTGGACAACTGTGTTTTGGAGAGTTTACGACAAAAGTGAAATGACAGAGAGTACGCTAAAGAAACATCAAACAAGTGTAACGATTGAAAAAGAACGGTTGGAAGATCCCGAAATTATAAGTGGGGCTAACGCCCCGGTGCCGCCGACCCCCGGGACGCAGTGGCTCAAACAATGTCCCGGGGGCGGCCCAAAGGGGTTTTGAAGGCTAGGGCCGATGAGCTGAGAGACCGGCGGCTTCTGATTGAAAGGGAGGTACGAGGTAAGGCGGTACCTTGTGGTTAGATCATGCTCGCTTTTCTGAAAAGTGAAGTGTTTTTTGTGATGTGTTGTCACTTTGAGTCTCATCTCCACATATTAATGCACTCATTGTACAAGAATTAAAGTCCGAATCAAAGGATTCAGGGGCACTGCACCCGCGACTCCCGATAGAAGCCCAGCAGTACGAGGCTAACATGTAACCCGGCTAGTAAACCAGTAGCCGGCTAACATGTTGCTGGTACAGTACGGGGCTAGTAGGTGTGCCCTGGATCAGGCTCAGGGCTTTGCAGCTCCTCCCCCTCCCGCAACTTTCGCCTGTAAGAATTTCATCACGGCGGATAAGCGTACTGCAAAGCTTTGAGTATAAGTTTGGAGGTTCCAAAAATTGCCATGCCCCAAAGCAGCTCACCTGGAACATGTCCAAATTTGAGGGATTTACTGTAAAATAAGTTTCTTTCTGGATGTTTCCGGTACTAAACCTTAGAAACTGACGTGGAATCATGTTGAATCTTGACGCCAAGGTTAGTCCAGGCTTTCTGCTTTGGACTCCTGACGTACTTCATCCTAAGCCATGTGATTCGTTATTGGGCCAATCATGTAGCCAGCAATGTGAAGGATTCTCTGGCATGTCTCAATGACCCTGCTCCGCCAGCGCCCTGGGCACTTTCCTGGATCTTTGCCTGCTGCCAACCAAAATCTAGTGGGCATGATCCTGGGTCCTGTGATGGGGACAACCTTAAAAGTGCCTGGAAAGGTTTGGAGGAGTCACAGCAGAGGTACTTGAGAAGTGTGATGCACAAGGCACGTTCATTGCAGGTCGCTGGCATTGCGGAGCAGCGTGTCAGCGGTATGTGGAAGATGATAGAGATGGGAGCTGCGGCTCTGACACCGATTTTCATCAGTATCGAGGGCATGTTCGGAAGCAAGTTTTCCCAGCCTTTGAAAGTTGTAGCCATCTTGCTCTCCCTAGTTACCACTGTCTGTCAGGTTGCACCCAAGAACCAAGCAACCTCAATTTTGGACTATCATGCCCGGTTGCGGAAGCTGGTCTTTGCCTATTGGTCACTCACTACCATTTTCAACGTCTACGAAGAGAATGAAAATCAGCGGCCAAGCATGGACACGCCAGCGTTCGAGGCACAGAGAGCATCCGTCTTTAGCAGTTTCGTGATGGCCCTGAGTAAGGAGGTGCAGGATGCTGAGAATGAGCTGAAGGATGTTTTCACTACGACACGGCTGACCAAAGATCAGGTTCCAGTTCCACTCTATGGGCCTCCAAACCAGGGATCTTCAGGAGACGGGACCAACGCTCCGGCCTCCACAACCCCAGCGGGGGCTGATGCCACGGACCCTCGGCCGGCTGAAGCACGCCAAGGCAACTGAAACGAAGACGCTTGAATGCAGAAAAAAGGTCCACCAACTTGGACATGAATTAAAAACATCCTCAAACAATCACTAACGGGAACTCTCGGAGCTCTCAACCATGCATACACATCTCAAGCAAGCAAAACGGGGACATGTTTTTGGGGTTCCCAATCTGGACCCATCTGTTCAAGTATTTTGGTTGGGAAAAACTGCAATGATCCAAGGGAAAGTTTCCATGGCTTTGTCTTGGACATGGTCAGCGATAGTTAGATCAGCCGGCGACAATTGTTTTGCAGGCTTCGATAATAACTTCCATCTTTGGAAATATCTCTTACTTACTTATATTGACCCGCTGATATACGATAGTCCATCACAATCATACATGATAATGATATCTTAATCTTGTCTTCCATCTTTGACAGGCCTCAAGCTGCGAAAGCAAGCAGGACGCGTTTCTGCGGCGGGCGCTGGGAGGAACATGTTGCATCAACAGCCAAAATGTTAGGAATAGGGGGGCTCCCCCGGCTTTTGGTGCCTTTTTTGGACTCAACATGTGCACTTACTGTACGCTCTTGCAATTTATCATGGCCATTGAACACACCACCCTTCAAGAATGATTTCCTCTGTCAGGATGGAGCATCGCTGAGGACTGCTACATGCTCTCCCAGTATCTTCCTCCGCCTCCCGCTCCCGCTCCTCCTCCTCCTCCTCATCATCATCATCATCATCGTTGTTATCATCACTATTGCTATTATCATTATATATCATTATTATTCTTAGTATCATCATGATTATTGTCGTCACGTCATGATCATTTGGATCATTGCATGATAGGAGGTACTATTGCTATCATCATCTTATTGTTGTTGTCGTCATTATTTCTATCTTATTCTTGCTAGTATTTGGTGCATTTCAGCAGATCACCATCCGTTTCGGCCCTTTTCGTCTTTCACCGACGTCTTGTCCAGGACGGAGGATGGCCGACGTTCAATGGGCGAGCTGGAGAGAAGCCTCGCAAAGGTGGGTGAAAAAGAATTCAGCGAGATGAAAGGCTGTTTGATCGCAAGTATTCCACAATGAGATATTAACAATCTTCTTGTATCTTCTTATCTTACTGAATATTTTTGAAACCATGCTATTCAACTTCATCATTTTGATCCACACAAATGGTCGGCTCCAAGTGTCACAAGTGCCGGCGGCACTGCACCAGGCGAAGGAACGAGCTGAGAAGAACCGCAAAGAGCTCAAGGGCCCGGCTGGCCCAGTGGTGAACGGAACAGTTCGGAGCAGATGGAGTAGCCGCATTACCTACTTAATTGGGGGGCCGTTGGAGCTCCGGATTGGGTGAAACCCAACCACTGTACGTGAAATTTTTTCCAAGACCTTGGCTCAGAAGATTTTGACAAGTCTGAAATCCTGATAGTTTTGAATGCAGGACATCTGTGATCAGAACAGTCTAGGAATACAGAAGTTTTCACACTGGGCGAACTTGGTGGCCCTGGCAAGGGGATGTGCTTAGCTGTTTCCATTTTCAATATGGTTCTGACTCAGAATCCTTTGATTGCCCAAAGTAGATCCTTCAAGATTCTTAATACGAGACAAAATGTTGGTGGCCAAATGGAATGCGATTCATTGATCCGAACTTGAAAGTATATCTATAGATTATATAGATCTTCTGGGTGTTTTGATTTTGGGCGCTGGCTAGCGTGCGTTTTTCAGGCTACATGGAAAGCTTGCGGAGCAAACTCTTTCAGGTGGCACGGCGACACCGCGGGATTTCTTGTTGGATGTTGCGGAGAAATTGTTGGACCTCCACCAATTCTTCTGACACTGGAAACTCGGGAAACCACTGGTGGGTTGGTTTTTTCGGGGGACTTTGAGGCGGATGGTGATCTTGCAGCAACCAATGAGGACTTGGTGATTGTCGGATGGTCAGATGGTGCAACATGCGAAACGGCCGAGGGGTCAACGGTCAAACCATGGACAATTTTTTCTCATCGCACTTGGAAGTGCTGCTCCAGTGGACTAAGTGGATAGATTTCACATGATTTCACCATAGTTTTTTTGGGGATCCCAACAAACAGATATCCATCTTGTTCAGCCCTGGCCTCGCAGGAGCTGTTGGTGTCCCTTCCTCCGGACTTCGATGATGTGGTTGACATCAACGCGTCCTTGACGTCGGCCGAAAGGCTGGTCGAACTTCAGGTCCAAGTTTAGACATTTCAAGAGAACTTGGTAAAGTTGCATGAGTTGCATCAGCATTTCCCTCATGAATAGCAGATAAGAAGATAATAGAACAGTCACAGTCTCAATACCTGGTATCCGAGGGAACTGACCCCGGAATGGAAGTTGGACCTGGGTTGTTTTCCAGTGCCAGGCGGCGTTCAAAACCCCGCAGCATTTCGTCCGAAGGCCAGACGGCTGCCGGGATGATCTTTTTGGGGCGATGAGTGGATTTGGGTGGGTTTTGAGGGTCCCCGAATTCAGCGCACGCCCAAGTTTTGATGTTTATCTCCATTTATTTTTGTTTGAGGATCTGAGTCTTAACGAAAGATCAGGAAAACGACATTGCCGATTCAGCTTTTTTTCTAGATGTTGATCTCCGTGAGGATCTAAGGTTTATTTTGCTGATGCTTTCTCTCATGTTCCCACGATTTTCCCATCTCCCGGTTTTGTTGGCGCGAAGTCGTAGCGTCAGGTGGAGGCGGCACACAGGGCAGGGCTGGAGGCGAAACTTTAGGGCGTTGCAGGTGGATTTTCATGGGGGAAATGGCCAAAACCCACCTGGAGTCAGATTCACTGTCGCAGAAATGGTTGACCATTTTTCGAGCTGAGGTGGTTCTGAACTGGCTGAAGGCTTTAGGCTGGAGACCTGCAGAGTTTATTGTGCCATTCACATGCCCCAAAATACACGGAGTTACTACATCCTCCGGAGCCAATTTGAGGATAAACCTTTGCCATCTCCAATCGCATTTTTTTTACAGGTTTCCGTAGAATGTGTCTTCAAATGTTTGAAAGCATATTTTCAATGACCGATCAGGTTGCCGACATTTCTGGAGAAGTACTTCTACGACGAGAAAGCCGCCCGGAACTCAGCTTCACTGCACGTTGCCACCGAGTTTGTTGGAGCTGGTGCCAAGGTTGAGTTGCCCATTGTGCAGATGCAGCACGAGGAGCAGTCGCTAGGGGGAGCGGGTCACATCATTGAATGCCACGCCCCGAAAATGGATGGATGGTACATATGTACATACATGTTGTATTTATATGTAGCATCATTTGGCATCTAATTCTCCTGATGTCTTCTAAAGCTGGGGGTCGCTCCAGTCAGTTGGCAGAAACAGCATCGGCAGCATTTCCATCATGGGATCGAGTTCTTAGGCATTTCGTTGGCAACGAAAGCATAGGACCTGCATTCAAAAGCTTGAGGACCTGCTCCAAATTCCTAATTTCATAGTCTATGTTTGCAGAGAAAGCCTTCTGGATTGGGGCTCCAAAGAAATTTAAACCAATAAGTTATCCCAATATCATTTTTTTCCTTCTCGTCTTGTCGTACAGTGCAAACACCCATCCTATATCATGTATGCTACAATTGTTCGAACAGTTCAGGAGCTTTTTGGACAGGGTGCCTGTTCAATTCGTAGCCTGCATGTTTGGTTCATTTGTGAACCGGAGACCAACCACTACTGCATTGTGCCCCCCAGTTGTATGTTGGTTTATAGATTCCTATTAAATCCTCTTAACATTAGAATCATTAGATATTCATTGGATATATTCACCATAAACCCAACAGTCAGAGCTCTGAAGAGCGCACCACCTCGCAGAATCTTGACGCTCGTTTTAGTTTTCAACGGAGGGAAACATGCCGCCATCCCCAAGATTGGTTGGATCATTCCGAATCATTCCTTTCACTGCATCCTGCAGTAGTTAAACAATGAATGGAAACATGTGGACTAAAACTTGAGGATTAAAGACCTGGATTTTACAACGTTGAACCATGTGCCAAATCTGGTTGAATTTGAACGCCGCACAGATGTTACTTTGTGGCTAATCCCAGTTAGTGCGTTATAACCCCAGTTACAAGTACGGTAAGTCGGGTTAGTCCACATGTAAATCGGGCTACAATTCGCGTACTAACTGAGTAGCTTGCCGCCAAGTGGGTCTCTAAAGGTTGTAGTTGGTGATATATCCCATTATATCCCACAAAATTCTGAACTATATATATATACATCCCATGATAGCTGGCACAGCCCTAATGGTGTTTATATCCCATTATATCCCATTATATATTTGTGATGATATGTGCGTAATAGATTATAGTTGGTGATATAGCCATTAAATCCCATAGCAATTGACACAACCCAATATAATTTTGCCCACTGACCTTGCCTGCCATAGGACACCGAACTGGACAAAGTTGCCAGGTGCAGTCAAGTTGCGTATTTTTCCAACACGAAAAGATATGGACTGTGGATATTTGTGGGAGTGTTGTCTTTATATCAGTATTGCTGGTATTATTTTTGTTCCTGTTCTTATTCTGATCAGATATTATCAACATCTTCTTTGTTTTTTTCATTCAATTTTGTGTGTTGGTATCATCTTCGATTACTTAATTAATATTTTCGTTTTGTATTTATCATCATTGCTTTTCTTAAATGGATGAACATGTTCATTTGCTTTCACCTTTCATCACTGTTCATTACTGACTGTGTCTTCTTATGATTTTCACTTTTGTCCTAATTATAGTATGATCATTCCTGTTCATATTTTTTCATGTCCTTCCATTACTTTTGTAGTCTTTCATCATCACTTTTCATCACTTTTTCATAACTTATCATAATCACCTTTCATGAATTGCTATCCTTTCATGACTCTTCCTTACTTTTCATCACTTTCCACTACTTCATGTAAATGATAAATATCATGCTATCATTCATCACCTTTTTTTTAAGTCACCATTATTTTAGGCTGCTCATCACCTTTCATTAATCTTCCAATGACCGCCACTTGCGCAGGCAGGTGGCTCGGCTGGACGCGCTCTTGTCACGACGAGAGGTGGGGGTGGATAGTTGGTACTGAATGGATACTGAATGGATATTGAGTGGATTTTTTTAATGGATATTTAATGGATCTTGCTATTTGAATGGCATATACCATCCGAGAAAAAAAAATCCTGTTGCTATTTTCTACCATTTAGATATGTACACAACCCATGGATCTTGCAGCTTTAATGGGATACAACATCTGGATGCCATTGCCATTTTCATAGACTTCAATCGGTACCTTTAACCATCGATCTTGCTATTTTGATATGGGGAAATAGAGGGAGATAGCCTCTGGTAATTTGTTATAATTGCGAACTGGAAATCACCATGACAGTAATGGGTGAATCATCTCTTTTTCCGGGCCGTGGCTTCCACAGCAAACTGTTGCTTTACCAGAGGGTCGTTGGTTGTTAGGAAATTGACCAAAAAGCCTTCGGTAATATCAACTGGACAAATAACCTCCATTGGGAAAATGAACCATATCACCATATTTGGGATTTCTGCATATATATATACTATACCATATCCCCATGATATAGCATGATATAGCTATATTTTCTTGGTTCATACCCCCCTGGTTGGATGCTGTTTTGCCGTGGTAGTCCAGGCAGATGGTTTGGCTCGCCTGAAAGCTGCCAAAGAAGAGCCTGGCCGGCGGGTTTGTCAACCGACATGGGCCAGTCTGACTTGTTGGGGTCCCGTGGCCCCATGGGAGGGCGATTTTCAGTCCGTCCCTGGTGGATGACGATTCTTCAGAGAAATTCTGAGAGAAGATTGAGTCCAAGCGAAATGGTTGAGTTTTTGATCGTAGAATCAACGAATTTCAGTCCATCTGTCATTGCTGTAGGAGACATTAGTTATGCCGATCTTTTCGTGCCTTGCAAGGGTGGAAAGCCAAGAATTCCGTCGAAGAGTATCCATCTGCACTGGGACCACATGTTTGGCGTTCAGCGGCGACAGGCATATGCCTCTAAATTGGGGATCCCCCATAAACCATCAAATTCCCCAATTTGTAAAACATGCATCTTTCGGAAGCCAATGAGATGTATTGCTTGTAATGGGTCCCAATCTTAAGAAGCCCCGGTCCGATGATACCCGAACGGTGGTCCAAAGGCGCAGCGTTTCGGCTGAGAGGAAAACCGGTGTAGTGCATCCAGCCAAGTCCATGGGCTACGAATCTCCTGCAGTGGCTTTGCTGAGATTAGAAAACCATGGTTGTTGCCCCCTAAATATCGTTTTTTTGTTTTTGTTTTTTAAATACATAAATACATAAATACATACATACCATACATACCATACATACCATACATACCATACATACCATACATACCATACATACCATACATACCATACATACCATACATACCATACATACCATACATACCATACATACCATACATACCATACATAACATACATAACATACATAACATACATAACATACATAACATACATAACATACATAACATACATAACATACATACCATACATAACATACATACCATACATACCATACATACCATACATACCATACATAACATACATACCATACATACATACATACATACATACATACATACATACATACATACATACATACATACATACATACATCATACATACATACATACATACATACATACATACATACATACATACATACATACATACATACATACATACATACATACATACATACATACATACATACATACATACATACATACATACATACATACATATATATATATACACATATGCATATATATATATCTATATACACATGAATATATATTTTTTGGATTTCCCGGCGCGGCAACATTTCCGAAAGTTCGGCTTCAAAATCAGAATTCATCGAGGTAATTGACAAGGACACGCTTTTCACTGTCAAGGTCCTTCTAGGCCAGGATGACACAAGGGTCTTTTAGGGAAAGGACCAGATTCTAACTCCAACTCAGTTAAGTCTGAGTTATGTTATATATACATTAAGATATATGTATGTGTGTATATATGATAGAATATAATACAATAACATGTTTGTATACATATAATTCAGAAACCCTTTACTGATTGGTATTTCGCACATCCAAGTAGGCGTTGCTTTGGATGCCACTCTGACTCCCTCCTGTTTCGTCCGCAAAAAGAGAAAAATTGACCAGTCTTGTCAGATAACATACCTGCTGATCACAAAATGTGGAGCCTATCCTATTTGGGTTGTTGGGGACAAAGCGGAGGAACAGGAATAGGAGCTCGGCATCGGCTGTAAATCAGTGCTATTGGGTTCATACCAAAGCACCTAGCATCCGTAGGGTTCGTCTAGGAGTTGAGTCAGTTGAGAATGGGGGAGCTTTCAGACCCCATGGACCCTATTGATATTATTGGGACCTGTCATCGTAGCTATCTCGGCAATCTCGAAGGCAGTTTGGTGAGCCTTGTCTCCCTTGGCTATATTATGTGGCTCGCTGCACCTCGCCTCAATTGAGGCTGAGCCTACTGCTCAGCTGAGCAGTGCTCAACACCCCTGTTGGTTGATAATTATATGTTATGGGGTTATAGTATCCAATACATTGGGGATTATCATGGATTATCACTGGAAATCCATTATGGGAAATCCTATTAACCACCAAGCATAAAGGGACGGCAGAGGGTTTGAACAGCTCAGATGAAAACACAACAACACAGGGTTTGTTTTCCAGAGCCTGCCATTTTCTTCAGTGCGCCAAGGTCTCTGAACAGCGTCGACGAAAGGACCGTTGTGGGTTGGGATACTAAGGGTTGTTGAACATTGACTGCAACATGCTTCACTTCGGCCCCCAAACCCTCTATTCAGGGTTGCGCTCTTAGAATTTACGTCCTTTACGTTGATTGTAGACTATAATCCTGAAGTCAGCCCTAGTAACTAGATGTAACTAGTAGCATGGCTCGTAATGATTGGATTGACACATCTCCCCGTTTCCCAGGATAGGCAGCGGAAATCACAGTGACGGGCTGCCCTTGGTTTGAGACTCGTGCACGGCGAGGCGTGGCTCGTGTCGGTGGGCGTTCTGTGGAAGCGTTGGTCCGGAGCGGTTGCCTCGAATGCCTCGAACTTTGTTGGTGTTGCTGGAATGCAATTGCGCTGCAACTGCTGGTTACCAGAAAGTTCATCATCGTCCAGTTCGACAATCTACAAAGAGCGCAATGCCTGTTTGACGAGGATTCAGATCTCTCAACAGCTTTCCAGGTCTGAAGAGAATTTGATGTCGCAGTCTTTATGTCATTTGGCGGTGAATATCCCTGGAGCCCACTCAGAGCAATCCCTGTGAAGTTGAAAGCAAAGGCAGCAGAGGCTGGATATTCCTACTACCCTTTTGCAGAGATTTCGCCCAGCATGCGCAAGCAGCCTTTGCTGGGATTGGCATCCTACAGAGCAAGGGTCAAGCTTTGGTTTTTGCTAGACTGGGCTTTGAACTTTAGCTAGAGTGCATATGTTTTGGAGTTCATGGTTACCGGAGCTGAGAGTATGTGATTGACGAGTTCCTCAGTCTGCAAAGAACACAATGCCCATTTGACAAGAAATCTCTCAGCAGCTTTCAAGGTCAAGCTGGATGTCGCAGTCTTTATGCCACTTGGCGGTGAATGTCCCTTGAGCCCCCTCAGAGCAATGCATGTGTGTTTTGCAGCGGTGCTCGGATTGGCACCTTACAGACCAAGAATAAAGCTCTGTTGTTTTCAAAACCAGGCCGTGAACTTTGCCGGTGTTGCTGGAGATATTAATTGCGCTGCAGCTCCTGGTTGCCATCAAGGCGAAAGAGAAAGGATCAAGCTTGAACTCTTGTGTACGTGTTGCCCAGTTCCTGAAGGCAATGCTTGTGCGTTAAGGTGCAAGGCAGAGCATGCAACACGCGCCAGTCGAGGCGCAAGGTCCAGTGGGACCCAGCGAGCCATGGCCAACCCGTCGCTGCCTTGGCGATCTTCAGTATTGGTGAACGGTTGGTGACCAGAATCGCTGCCTGCACCAAAGGTCTGAAATGGAAACACGCTTTGTCACTTCTCGATGGACTGCTAGGTCGGCTGTTCAACCGAGAAGGTCTCTCACTGGCAGACGCTAAATCCTTATTTTTAGAGGCTGAAGCCAAGTGCCAGATGAACATCATCCTGTGCAACTCGACCATTAGTTGGAGCAGTGCAGCCGACGGTGACCACTTGGAACGCTTTGATCAGCATTGGAGAACATGTATCTCATGCGATTGCAGGAAAATGTCATTGCTACAATTGATGCATGTGGCAAAGGGGGTCAGTGGCAATTTACCCTTATGATTTTGGACGAGGTCGCGCGAGCTGGAAGCCAACATGGCTTCTTGCAGTTCTTTTGACCCGGGTTTTTCTCGGCAGACTTCTGGCCTTTCACCTCCATGAGACCCGAAAAAAAAAGCAACGCAACTCGTTGGCATCGAAGAACTCCCAGGGAACTTAGTCCCGCTGGTCAAATATGGCAGTTGAACATCCATCTAGCTCGATGATTTCGATGGTTGTCCCAGCTCGATGATGTCTCCATTGATAGTGGATTTTCCCCATATTTTCCCCATATTTTCCTATGATTGATATTGCTCATTGATGAAATTCACCCAGCATCTGCGCACCAGGCTTGCGGCGACCAAGGACCGCAGCAATCGGATGGGGATTCACTGGTTGAGTTCATCGATTGAGGTGAACTCAGAAGGCATCATGGTACCCTCTGGTAATGACTAACAGTTTGCTATTGAAAATGGTGATTGATAGTGGATTTTCCATGATTTTCCCATTAATAGCATGGTGGATCTTTCCATAGTTATGTAAACGTTTACCAGAGGGTAAGTTTCATGGTGAGTTTCTCTACAAAGCTCGTTGAATCGTGGGAATTAGCTTTTTGGGCCGATTCTCAGGAGCATTTGCGACGAGAAAGCGTGGTGACCTCAAGCTGCGTTGCGTCCTGGGGGTCGGTTGGTGACTTTGATGGCGATCAGGAGCAATCAGAGGCCGAGAAGATCGAACTCTTGAAGAAGTTGAAGGCTCTGGGAATTTGGTTGTCTCAGTTTGGAGCCCTATTCCATCCCATGGTTGAAAAACACCATGGTTTAAACATGTTTAAACCATATGATGTTCGCATGTGGAGGTTTCCTGAAATAGGGGTGCCCCCAAATCATCCATTTTAGATTGGGATTTCCCATGAATTTTTCACCATCCAGCGAGCTTGGGGTATCACCATGACTTGGGAAACATCCATATGATGCACAGGAAAAGGGCTTCCTCCGCAGTTCATCGTCAACTTCCAAGGCGGCGCCGGAGGCTCAGAGTTTGTGATTTGCATGGGATTTCATTATGACAAATGGTGATGCCATGTGATTTAACCAAGCAAAATGGTAATTTAATGGTGGTATAGTGGGATATTGATGGATTAATAGGGATTGATTCATGTTGATTTGTACCCTTTGGTGATTTAACGGTTTGCGAACTGGATGGTCATCATTTTTAATAGGGAGATTATGATTTTGATCATATTTTTATGGTCATGGCCCCTAGCCATGTTAAATAACCAGAGGGTAACCATCATTCATAGTGGCTTTAACCATCAAAAGATGAGGAAATAGTTGAGAAATGATGGTTGATGATGATCGAATTTCATAGCCTTCATAGACGGGGGATCCGGGATGGTCATATGGTCATCATCCAGTTTCCGCAAAGCTCATCGAATGCATCAAGCATCAAGGTCCGCAGCGTCGTCCTCGTGCTTTGCTCAGGATCTCAGGAGGAAACATCACCAGTTTTCCGCCTCCGGTGTCATCAGTGGCTGGAAAATTTGCCCGATGCTTTTCCTATTCAAAGCTTCATTGATGGAGGATTTTCCAGCCACGGAGCTGATTGCCAGAGAATAGCTGAAAATTCAAGAACTCGATAAATCTCTCGGCCCAGCTGAAGTTCAACACCGTTTTGCTTCATTCTCTAAGGGCCAACAGCCCCAGACACAGCAGCTCCGTTGCCTGCATGTCTCCATCGAAAACATCAAGCGAGGTGAGAAATCTCAGCTGGATCTCTAATGGTTAATGGTTTGATGTGTGGAAATGGGGAACGTACAACACCCTTGGTTTCAGAAGCTGCCTGCTTATTTTGACTTATTTCAAAGCCAAGTGTGAGAATTTTCAGAATCCTGATTCACTATGATCAATATTTCTCCCAACCCTTGTCCAAATCATCCCAACCTCATCCAATTTCCTACATGCATGAAGGCCTTGTATCGACAACTATATAGCAACCCCCGAAAAGGTGTACAAGAATCGAAAAGCAGCATCTTCCCCAAAAAATGTATACCCTTCGGCAATCAAGCATGGCTGGGAAATCCCCGAACTAAATGGGCACCGGGAAAACTATCGAACCAGTTTTGGGCCATTGCCATGGCATGCCATGGCGTCTCCTCACGCAGGTGGATTGGAGTGGCTGGGAGTGCTCCGTTGAGCTGGAAACTCCTTCAACTGCCGCACCGGCGAAGTCTGCACCGTACCGGGCTTAATGGAATACCAAGATCTGCCAGCTGAAACTGAAGGTCAACTCTAGTGAAAGGTAGTAGTTGATATAGTTGATAGATGTTGATAGTTTATTAAGTTTATTCTATGTTCGTGTCCAGCCATTCAGCTGGAATATGCCAAAATGCAGATCGAACATTTGCCACGAAGCGTTTCGAATTTCCGGCACTCCCCCAGTACTTGTTCTAGTGCCCACAGCTGTGTTTTCGCAGCAAGATGTGTCTCTGGCCCCGGCGATTTTTCGGGGCGCTTTTTCTGGATGGTTCTGAGGTTTGTTGCACAGCCGGGAGTGGAACATGTGAAGGTCTGGGTCTTGGATGGGATCAAGGAACTTGCGGCAAGGTGGACTGGCTCAATTCGGCTCTTTATTTTAATGGCTTTCCATAAATGGGGGAATCCCCAAATTCCCCAAATGTTAATGGAAAACCCATCCATAAATAAATGGAATAAATGGGTAGCCCCAAACCAGTCGGATCTCTCCAGGAAGACGAAGCTGATACCTCGACCTTCCTCACGGCAACTGCGGATCGCAATTTAGGCACCGAAGATTTCAACGAAATGTCTGGTTGAAAAACGTGATGAAACGATAAGTTAGTGAGCTATGCAAATTGATGGTATAATTCTGATATGATATATATATATACATATACACATACATATGTATGTATCTATATAAATGTAAATGTTATTTGGGCCAGTCTTCAGCTACTAACCGGTTGGTGACATCACTTTCGATGAAAGCTCCAATCGACCAGCATATGAATGAATTTTAGCTGGAGGCATCAGCCCCAAAAGTGTGAGACATTTTACATCCAAACATCTTTGAAAAGAACATATTTTCCTGGAAAATTAACCTCATTAAACCTGGTCCTTGCTTTTCACACCAAAATAGAGAAAAAAACTCTATATAAAAAATGTAGAGGTTCATCCCATTAGACACCGGTCCCATCGTTTTGACCGGCAGCCATATGTGTTTGCGACGACGCGACACAACACGGGGAGTCGGGGTCCCCACTTTTGAGATATGCCCCTAGAATGTCAACCTTGCTAGTTTCTGTATCCAGTTCAGCAGAATATTATTCAATAGGTATTTTCACATGATTCATACCAGGAAACGGCCCCATTCAACATTATTTTTTCCAAAGGTTTTCCAATGTTTCCAGCAAGGTGGTGTCTACCCCTCAGTTAAGCTGTTGGTAACTAGTTCGATCTATCTACCATAAATTTCCAGTGAAAATTGGAGTTATGTTCACCAACTTTTCGCTCCTCTCCATGAAGAGGCCCCAGAACCGGAAAAACTGGACCTCGCAGCAAGCTGGAACCTGTGGTGGAGGCGATGGTGTTTTCAACACCAGAAATGCATGATGAAATCTGAGGATTTGGAACCCCACCACAGGAGAGTTTCTTGAATACCATCATGTGTCTGAAAAATAGTCTACACTTAAAATTCAACTGGATGATCATCATTTTCCCACTTAAAAATGGTAATTTGGGGGGGTATATTCCAGCTGGTACAGCCTGGCAACGGCCTAACGGCATCAACAATGCTTGGGTTGCTGAAGATTTTTTCAGCTGCACTCCCTTATTCTCTGCAAAATGGCCAGACGTAGTACAGGAAGCTGTTTTTGAGAGTTGCCAGAAGCGAGCCGAGAGATTAAGTGAATGATGTACAGGGCAATCCACGTCTGCTTGCATTACGAATAGTATCTTTAGAGCACAACCCATGTGGATATGGTAGGATATGATTATGACCCGGGGCATCTTGAAGCACAGACAATTTTTCGGTCGATTCCGGTCGATTCCAATATGGGAACTGTGGTGAGTTTCTCAGCACTGCAGGATACGGTCCATGAAAGGAAGAACGAAGAGCAGGAGGAAACTCCTTCAGGTTCCATGCCGTGTGTCGAGATGATGGGTCAAAACCAGAAACATCACTGGAATGGATACTCTCTGTGAACCAAACATGGCAGTGGGAAGGTTCCGAACTAAATGAAGCGGCTTTAATGTGGAATTTCCAGCCATGTTAATATTTGATCACCGGGATGGGTACCCTCTGGGAATGATTAACAATGTGCTATGAAAAACACTGTAACAATTCTTCATGGTAATCATGGAAGCGCACCAACGCTTCCATAGCGATGTGAAACTATCGGAAGGTGGGTGAACAAGATATCCCAATATTATCAATTTTGTTCATGAAGATGAAAAGAAGGGATCAGAAGGGTACAAGTGATTTTCCATGATTTTCCAAATGTTGTCCACATGATGAAACTGATCCATTTTGAAGGAGTTCTGGGTGAAGTGCTTGGACATGTGTCGTGGGAATCAGCATTTCTTGGTCGTTGATCTACAAGAACTTGTGACTTGTGACATATCCTCCAGCAAATTAAGAAAGATATCGAACAAACCACCATATGTAGACCATTTGCCCTGGGAAACTGTGGGTCTTCCTAATATGGGTTTGTCCGAAAATAGGATATACCCCCCTTTTAGGCCATCTATTAGTATATATTCCATAGGCTTAGTGATGATTTTAATAGGTTTCTGGGAAGCCCATTTTCAGACAAACCCGTGGCTTCCAGGCGACGAGCGCATCATAGTCCCTTCGCCGTTTCTGGACGGCCGATGCACGGCAGGGTACAAGATGCGATCGATTAGAACCATCCATTAACCAGCTATCTTAGGGTACCTAGGGTCCCAAGGTTTTGACTCATGGCTAAGTGATTTTGTGAATGAAAATTGTGAAAATGAAGAATTGAAGATGAAGTAAAAATATGAAGGTGTATTGGAATGTTTGATGTTTTTTTTTGACATTTTTGTCAAGGTCCCTTTGAGGGCTGACGGAAAAAAGTGGCCGAGAAGTGCTTTGTTGTTTTTTTGTGATATGTCTTTTGTCTGAAAAAAAGGCACCCAAATCCATGACATGGATTATCATCAATGTTCCCAAAAAGGAATAGCGATACATTGGGGTAAATCCTAGTATTTTAAGACAGATCCAAAGTGGATATACTCATAGTAGTTGGTTACAACAATCTCATTTTGTCCCCATTTTCTCCCAATTCAATCGCCATTGGGTGCCATGTTGGCGCTCATGCCTCAGGAGGAGCTCCTGCACGTCGGTGCCTCATGGGATTTACAAAGCAAGAAACATGAGGGGCACCACGTTTTGCAAAACCTCAAAAAAGGAGTTGTAATTCACATTCCAACTCATCTACATGATTATGAATTGGTGCGTTAATAGGAGAGGTAAAGAGTTGTAATCACTGGATTGGTTGGTCATATTTACGGTTGAAACTATGTTTTTGACCACCAAATTGATCGGGGTTTCCTGCTCAAACCAGTGGACGTAAGGATCCCTATGATCTCAATGCCCTCCATGCCATTGACGACAAGTTGGCCCAGCTTGTCCCGGAATCCGAATGGGAGGCGCTGCCAGTGGAAGGAAGTGAGAGGGATCGATCTCTCTGTTTTTCATCACAGGAGACACTGTAGAGATCCATCAAAAAGCATTGAATGAATTCCTCCAGCACGGATCAAAATGTGACACATCAAGACATATCAAAGGTGTGATTTTGAGATTGCAACGAAGGGTCTTGAATATCCACACTATTGGGATAGAAGAAAAACATCTACTGTCTCATTCTGCAAAACATTTTCTCATGCTGCAAACCATTTTGCAGGATACCCTCTGGTGAACTAACATAGCAATGGAAAATCACCATTTTTAATGGGAAAATCCACTATAAATAGCAATTTTCCATTGCTATGTTAGTTCACCAGAGGGTACACACCAATATTGTGGTGGCTTGTTTGCTGATGCTCATGCTGGGACAATCCTTGCCATGGTGAACCCCAGTGGCTGTGATAGTGAGAGCTGTAGTCTGCTGCCCCAGCGCGCCCAATGTACCATGCGGTAATCAAACATGGCAACGGAAGATCCACTATTTATATCTACTGATATATATATTTATATCTATTTATATCTATTTATAGATGAATATCCGATTAAAACTTTCATTTACAGGGGATTTCCAGTTGCCATGTTTGATTTCTGGAGGGTATTGAAGTTATACCAACCATTTTTCCCCAGATGTTGACCCAGATTCTAACGGCATCACATCCCCCAACCCCGTTATGGTCCGTTACACTATTGCATTGATTGAAGACTTTCAATACGGGATCAAATCACCTGATTGATAAGGGATCAAATCTCCCACCCCTGTTAAACTATTCCGCATATAGCCCTGAGCGTGTCATGCCATTGTTCTATGTGGAGGAAAGCTCCTGATAGCCTGGAAAGGCTTCAAGCAATGAGAAGGTGAAAGAAACAAGATTCTGGAAAACGACTTTCTGTCTGTGAACCTTTACGGGATTTTCATTTTGCAGACCCCTCATCGATGAAACATCGTAGCATTTCAAGACATGTGGGGAAAGTAATTTTGCACGGGAAATACCACAGTTTCGCCATTCATCAAATTCATCAAGAGGTGATCCAGTTCAATCCGGGCAAACGGTAAATCCTACCCGTAAAGATACCATACATGGAGCACAAGGATGAACCTTGCCGCAAAGGCCAAGTCGATAAGATCTGCTACGAATGGCTCCGAAGTTTCAGCAGGCTTCATGGGAGCGACATGGGTCCCTACCAATAATGTCCAGCACTGTCACTGGATGGGATTAAGGGGAAACATACAGGAACACATGATATTTTGCGCGATAAAACCATGTTTTTCTGCAGAATTTTTATGTGAAAATCATGGCACTGACGCTGCCTTTGGGATTGCAGATGTTTGTTTTTTTTTGCCGGTGACACGATCCAGTTCCCGCCAGGTGTGCAATCCAAGACGTCAAAACATACGGCCTGGTGCTGAGCGACATGCCGAGCGACTGACGACCCACTGCCTTTCCAACGCCTTCTGAAACTATTTCGAAAGGATGCAAGTGAAAATTCAGGGGTGTAGCAACCAGTGGCATTTTGTCATGTTTTTCTGGAATGTGGGCGTGTCTGAAATGGTCTGAAAATGGAGATTTATCCCAAAATGGCCATGAAATGATAGGGACATTGGTGATGTTAATCAGTGATAAACAGTGAATGAAGGGGTTTTCACTTTTTTTCGGGGACCAAAGCGCCAAACCGAAGCTATTCCGTGGCAACTGAGGTCTTCTCCCATGTGGCATCGTCCTTGCCAGGCAGGGGAGTGATGCATGGTGGCTGTTTGATGGAGACCTTATGGTATGAATATACACACAACGCATAATATATATATATATCTATGTAAATTATATGTATATTATATGTATATTATATGTATATTATATGTATATTATATGTATATTATATGTATATTATATGTATATTATATGTATATTATATGTATATTATATGTATAATATACTATATATTTATTTATATTATATTATGTTATATTATATTATGTTATATGTATATTGTATGAATAACGATATATGTATATATATATATATTTATATGAGCAGGGGGTATGGGGTTCCGGGGACCCGGCTTATTTTTATATACATATATATGAAAGCGTCAACTTGATTTTGACAGCTAGCCAGGGGCGCTCGATCCTAAATAGAGTGGAATGAACCTCAAATGACAATTTGCATTGGTCCCCAGTGTTTTACTGGTAAAAGACCATTCATGGAACCTATTTAGCGAGACTCGGGAGGAAACAAATGTTGGAAGTGTATGTCAAGTGTGCGCAGTTGATCAGAGTGGAGTCATTCCTTCCTTTCGTCGCTTCTTCTCCGACAAGAACTGTTCATCATACACAATTTTCCATTTTTGACCCAGGGACAGGAATAACCAGAATTGGCCCTTTTCATGTGGTTTTGTGAGAGGATTGGCTAACATTGCACCACCATTGACCCAATGTATGGACGTTTCACTACGTTCCAGGTTTTGTCGAAGACTCAATGCTTCCAGAGCAGCTCTGCGTTCTGCACCCTTTACTGTTGGTGTTGCCCTAGTGATTCGGTCAAAAACATTTCTTGAATCGGAAATAAGAAGGCCCGCCGTCCTCAATGTTGAGACATCAACCTCTCGCAGTTCTACCTCATGTCCTTTCATCTCATTCCAGAAGATCCGCAAATAGGATAGCTCATCTTCCCCGTCCAATCCTGCGGCAGTTTCGGCGCAGCCCGGGGATCTACAAATTCTTTCAATTTTCGATGACTTCCAGTGAATAGGAGTGACCTTCTCTTCATAACCCTGTCGTAACTTTGTCGAAGTCATTCCCACAAAAATTCCTTCAGTTGAGTCTGTGCCATTGGGTCTGTTGGCCCAACCAGCATCTGTCCAGCAAGCAAGTTCTAGTTCTTCGTCTGGTAAAAAGGCATGAATTTTGTATTTTGTGTCTCGAGTCTTTTTGATATCCCTCACCAGTTTGTTTGTCTTCAGGATTTCATTCACTGTTGCCACAGGGATGGAGGTGATCAAAAAGTTCACGTCAGCAGAATAAAGAAAACATGTTTGTCCACATAGCCATGAAATACTACCCAGAGCACCTCGTAATTTCCGTTTCTCCTCTTCAGTGACCGGTGCGTCCGGCATGCGAGACCGATCTCGTGAAATGTAAATCTCCTCTAAATCATCAATGTATTTTGTTTGGGAAATTTCAATAGAAAAATCTTCCAGCTGATGAACTTCAATTCCGCATTGAACAAACTTTGTTTCTTCCCAGCTACCCCATTGAAAACGTTGTTGTAGTTGATCCATAAGGTATTTGTGAATAGAACATTCTGGGCTACCACCAAACATCAAATCGTCCACATGAGAATGAACTATCGACCGCACTGTTCCTGATTTGTCACGGAAAATCCAGCAGCATGGTTCCACCTGTAATCGAGAATATCCCAGCTCGACCAAAGTCTCATGAATAGTATGATACCATTGTAATGGGGCTTGAACCAACCCATATGCTGCCTTTCGCATTTTCAATGGAGTTGCTTCTGGAACTCCCAACGCTTCTGAAATTTCTCGAACAGGTCGGCACCAAAGTTCTTCTTCAAGAGGTTTACCTTGCAAAAAGGCGCCCGATATATCTCCTTTGGATATCCTAAACCTTTTCCAACTACAATACTGCCAAAATAATTGTCGACCAGATCTTGTAGGGGTAGGAGCTGATGTAGGACGGGAGGCATATGAAGGGTCTTGATATCCTAAAATCACCCCGCGTGCTTTGGCCTTGCGGCCACCAGGATATTCATCTCCATATTTCCATGTGAGTAGCCACCTCATTCCCAGTGTTTTGGACTCCTCAAACCCTCTTTCTCTTGCAATCTCAAAACAGCCTGATTTCACAAAGTTTCTCACCTCAATTTCCTTTGCTTTCTGAAACTGCTGTGCTTCTGAAGGTGTAAGAGTCCGCTCATGTACTTCAACTTGGCGTTTCTTCAATTGTGTAGCTACAAATGTTTCGGGGTTTTCAAAGAATTTCTTGATGCCCCTCCGTGATGTTGGAATTTCCCATTCTATCTCCATAGCTAAACAATTCTCCTCCTTGGCATAGAAGAGCTCGGCACCAGCCTCAGTGGAATAGTCTGCCCGAGGTTCTTTTGGTCGACGTTGATCACCTGAGCCAGATGGTTGTTCAGCATCTCTTTTGAAGCCCCTAGCTGGTTCTATCTCCATTGGACTAAAACCCTTGTGTCTCATCCGACGAGTAGGAACTGTCTCTGTAGGATCTTCCTGTTCCTCTGTTGCTTCTTCCCATTGTGCGTCTGACGGGATCTCTTTGGTCACGTCTTGATACGTTGCTCTGTCTTGATGAGTTGCTAATGTCGTAATAGTCCAAGGAAGTTCGATTGGTCCAGCTAGAGATTCTACTTGTTGCTCATATGGTGATGCTTTCCGGAGTTGTTCCGGTACTGTTTTGATCAGTCTACCATTTCTGTGAAGCCAAACAATATGACCAGGACGGAGTTCTCCAGTGTTTTCTCGCCGTGTTTCTGTCGCTAAAACCCGTGCTGGTCCAATGAATTTCCCAGTTCTTTGAGTGGTCTTCTCTTTGAGGGGTACTTGATTACGCCAGTAATAAACTAAATCTCCAGGAAGATGCACTTCAGCTCGGCGTCTTCCCATTCTCAGTGCCCTTTCTGTCCTTCGAAGAGCTTGCTCTTCCAGAAATGCTTTCTCCGCCTCCAGGCGCATCTCCGCATCGTTGGTGAAGCCGCCATCCTGCAGCATGTCGCGGCAAATGGGAATTTGATTGTCACTCTTGAAAAACCTTCCAGCATCATCAGGAGCTTTTCCCATAATACGTTGAATAGGTGTAAACCCTCGCACTGAATCCATGTTGTTACTTGTCCATGCTGCTCGTGAGACCAACTCTTCCATGGATAAATGTGAAAAACTTTCCACCAACTTGTCCAAGACCCCCTTTAAGCTTTTAATAGCGCCCTCTACGATTCCAATCTGGTAGTGGGCTTCCGCGGGAATTGGAACCAGTTCAAAATTTTTCTCCATGGCGTACTCTTCCGCCTCTGTGTTTTTCCACGGGCCGGCAGGATCAACTCGGAGAGTTTGAGGATAACCAAAAAGACTAAACCAGTTTTCTTCCAAAACCTTCTTCATCATGACCCAAGTCGTTGGTTGTCCCTTCCCCGTAGAAACCCATCGAGCCATACGAAACCGACTGCCCTCGTCGATGATGACCATCACGTGGTGCTTGTCACCTGAGTGCGGGTGGACCCATGTGGCTATGTCAGCCTGGATTCTTTCTCCCTTTTGAGGCACTGGTCCCAGAGTTGCGAATCTCCTAGGATCCATTCTTTTGCGAGCTTCACATATTGTGCATCTGAACTTTCGAGCTTCTTCCAAAACCTTTGGGGTGCTACCACGTTTTTCCAAAGCCTCAACCAATACCTTGAGACTGCCATGACCTGTACTCTGGTGTATCTGTTGGATCTTTTTCCGGATCTCTTCTCTCTCTTGTTTCTCCTCTGGAGTTTCTCCAACTTCTTGCATCTCAGCATCAGAGTCTGCTGCCTCGACTGGATATGCTGTCTCCTGGTAGTGCATCTTCTTCTGAAGCTCCAACAATACGAGACCAGGTTTCATTCACGGTCAGACAGTCAATAACTCTTCTGGCAAAAGGCTCTGTGCAGCGCGCGGTGTGTGTAGTTTGACCTCCCTCGCATTTCCCTTTCCTGTGGTTGCGTTGACATCGTAAGTTCATATGTCGGAGAAGATGTGAATCTTTTGAAGCAATGGACCATCCTTTGCACAGAGCTAGTTTTCCATCTCTAGTCCTCAAACCCACTGTGCAGCCGTGGCAAGTCACCTTTTCCAATCCGTGTAGAGAGAGGAACTCAGTCATTTCTGGAAGTGACCAAGCTTCGCAACGCTCGGAAAGTTCGCAATGAATTTGGGTGTTGAGAGACTGTGCATGCTGTGCTACCTCCATTGCTCCTCTATACTGTACTCTGGCCTTGTTCTGTTTCTCTTGAAGTCTAACTTGCTGTTCAGGAGTACGTTGATTTAACCGTTGAAGAGGACAAAATGGAGCACAATCACAAGCTATCCAAAGGTGAACAGGCCTGAAGATGTCAAGCATTCTCTTGGCATGGCTAATACCTTCAGGGGTTTCCAGATCTCCCCCATTCCATATGCTACATCGAATTGCGGAACCCTTTCCAAATCTTCTCTCCACTTCATCGCAAAGGCGGCTATCAGGAAAACAAGCAAGTTCCATCAACAGGGGTCTTTTGTGTTGAACAAGAGATTTCCATTGTTCACTGAAAGGGTTCTGCTGCACATGCCATCCCTTGACTATCTTCACTTGGGTCTCTTGAGGTAGAGGTGCTTCTGCGCATTGTTCTCTCACATCTCCTTGCGGTTCTTGTGGCTGTACTCCCCGGTGGCTTTCCGGAGTTGTGTCTCTGCCTCCTCCACCTCCGCTGCCTGCTTCTGAATCTTTTGCTTCTCGAGCTCTAGAAGAGCCCATTGACGAGCCAGTTCCTGAGCTTCCTGGTTGGGCTCTGGGGGTTCTGAGATCATGCTGAAGCTGGTGTCGCTGGCCGTGTCTTTCAGCATAGTCACACCTCTGGTTGAGATCTTGGAGTTCTTGGCGCTCTGGAGGACTTGCATTTGGGCCTGCTGCATCTCGGCCCACCGGTGAAGACGAAGAAGTCTCCAATGGGGATTGTCCGACTCGAGAGCTGTCGCTTTGATCCACTGGAGGTATGAGGGATGCTGGGAAGCCACTTGCTGATAGGTGAGATTGGCGTACTTGCCGAAAGCGACAAGCTCTTGATCGTGGGGCTCGAACTTTGCATAGATTGTTTTCTCCCCCAGTGCCACCATTTGTGCGATGGTCATGTTGTCGGTCACAGTCACATTGTGTGCTGCCATAAAGTTCACCAAGTCGGACTTCTTCCGAGCTGCCTTTCTCATCATCTTCAGTGTGTCCCCCAACTGATTCCCTTTCACTCCCTCTTCGCCTTTCTCCATCTTGATCTCTGCCCAGAAGCTTTGCAGCTGAATCACTGTCCATGAAGTCGGAACCTGGTAGCCCTCGTCCAGGATGCGCTTCACCCACTCGGCCTTGTTCTTGGGTTCCGGCATGCTGAAGGGTGACTGGATACACCGGCTGGCAAGAGGTCGAAGCTTTTGAGGCAGAAACTGTTGAAGTGTGTGCATGTTGTGGTGTGTGTGAGTGGAACGTTTCACAATTGAAATCCTGAGTCTCTGAACAAAAACTACAAACGCCGTCTAGACACGCTTCCAAGCTGCACACTGCACATGCTGAAAAACATGTTGTGGAAACCCCAATGCATGCACCATGTTGGTCATGCGAAAAACCCTGAGTAGAGCTCCCCTGGGCACGTGTGTCCATTTCCCCAGAGGAGCGTAGTCCCTATTCAGCTAAGTGGAAAATTGGGGTGGCGCGTTTGGTGCCCCCTTCCAGCAAATTGCCGACCAAGGGCATCAGGAGATGGCCGTTATTGGCCTCTTTCAGCTCGGCGAGAGACTAAAATGGGTTGGCCAGGGCTGTCATGGACATGGACTTCAAAATTGCCCTTCTTGTCTCCAACGTCGATACCTACCTGTACGGTGCTGAGACAGACCTTTTTCTGGCCATTCCCAAACTTGAAGGTGGGACAGCGGCTAGGATCAACTACCATCTTACCCTTCCCGCTCTCAGCAAGGTTGGCCTCTCTCCAAGCTTCCATCGCATCAACCGATCCCAATGAGGCTGTTGCACCTGAGTCCAAGATGCCATAGGCTCCCAGGTTGAAGTTGCCTTCCTGAGTGTTCCCAAACTGCGCACTTTCTTCTTGCGTTGTCTGGTCGGGAGTGACAGTAAATGCGATCTCGGCCTCTTCTTCATGTGACACTTGAGCTTCCTTGTTTTTCAGCGGGCAGTCCCGTTGGAAGTGAGGTCCACCACACTTGAAACAGAGAACTGACTTCTTCCCATCTCTTGTGGTAGCAGAGGATTTTTGGAAAGGCTTCGGAGGGAAAAAGCTTCGGCCAAGCTTGACTTGTCGCTGCTTCCATCTGGCTTCCTTCAGAGTAGCCTTGTGTTGGCGGATTGCCTCGAGGGCATGTTCAGCTTCTTGATCATAGGTCCAAAAAGCCTCTTGTTCTTCTTCCCCCAACATGGCTATCTCCTCTTGTGTGTAGTCCAGGTGGTATGCTTCATCCTCGCCAATGTCGCCTTCAAGAGCGACCAAGGCGCTTCCCATCCGGTGTTTGTCATGCTTGGTCAGGTCCACATCGCTCCATTGCTCCCGGAGAGCTTTTGCCACGGCCTGAGTGGTGAACTCCCCTTTGATCGCAGTGAGGATGTTGGATTTCTCCGCTGGTTCCAGACCACTGCGGTGAAGGAGAAGGAACCCGGCCAGGAACTCTGGAATGAATGGTCTTTCATCAAATTCCCATTCATGTGGAGGGTCGTACTCCGGAGATTTCCAAGACCACTGATCCCCAGACTGAGACCAATCCCATGATCTTTGACCCCATGTCCAGTATTGGTTTTGGTGGTCAGGACCTCCTCCCTCCTCATCATCATCTTCTGCTAGCCGGCCATCTTCCCCAAAGGGATGACTGTGCTGAGAGCGCTGAGATTGACTTTCCCAGGCCGAACCCCACTGAGAAGATCTAGGTGCAGGAACTGACTTGCCCTGCTTCTCGTGCTCTCGTTGAACCCTTTGAATGGCCCTAGAGGCCTCCCACAGCTTCTCGCTGTGTCTTGCTACCCATGCTGTCATTGACTCTCCCTTCTTTCTCTCCATGTTGTAGAAGAAGGCTGTGACATGCTTGTTGGCATCTAGCAAGCTAGGTCGTTCTAACTCATCCTCCAGAAACCTCAGCAACTCATAGGCGCCCCTGGCATGACTGAGCCACTGAGGGTCCTTGAGAGTTTTCGTCCTCACCAATGTCCTGGCGACTCCGGTGAGTTCTTGAACCAACCTTGGTCCCACAAGGTATCTTTTGTGTACTTCTACTGCCATCATGTACTGTAACACTTCCTCCCTGTATGCTTGGAGCATTTCAGGAGACCCATCATAACTGGGTATTTTCCACTTTTCAGACATCTTGCCTCGCGGGCTCGAATGTCCTAGCTTTTCTTTTCCCTGGATCACTGTGTACACCTTCTAGGTTTTCACAGCAAAAAGGCTCCGGCTGCCATGAAAGCGTCAACTTGATTTTGACAGCTAGCCAGGGGCGCTCGATCCTAAATAGAGTGGAATGAACCTCAAATGACAATTTGCATATATATATATATGTAAATGTATATGTAGATATATAAACAATTGTATATATATATGTATGATACGTCAATCATGAAGATGTTAACTTGCTGCCTTTTCAAATGACCAGTTTGTACTGTACCATTTGCGTTTTTTCAATGTAGCTTCATCGTTTCCAAACAGCAGTGACTGTTGGGTTTCAATCTCTGGGTCTGGAACCGCAACGCCGCAAGCCTGGAAACCCTGGAACCTGGTAACCTGCTGCTGGGGTTGCCTTTTTCCATTCACCATTTTCTATTATAGTGATACCCACTGGTTCAAGGATAGCATTTTCCATTCTGCCCACAGTTTTTTTGGGGAATAGCCAGGTGAACCAGTGCTACGCGAGCAGCTTGAAGAACGAGAAGCTCGCAAAGCGTTGGGGGCCTCAACTGAATGGATACATGGGATACCAAATGGGATATAACGGTGTATGGGACGGACGTTCGCCCAAAGCATAATCTAGGGGTGTTACTTATTCCCCAACAGCAGAATGCTTTGGGGTCTCAGCCCACATAGCCTTCGGGGTGCTCCGGGGCACTGCTCGACCCTGCCGCCTCGTTTCGCCGGTTCCGGGAACCAGGGTTCCGAGAACCGGTTCCGGGAACCAGGGTTCGGGGCAAGGTTCCGGGAACCCAGGGTTCCGGGAACCAGGGTTCGGGGCAAGGTTCCAGGAACCCAAGGTTCCGCAAACCAGACTTTCAAGCAAGGTTCTGGGAACAATGGGTTCTGGCTACCTTTTGGGTTCCGGGACGTCAAGGTTCCGGGAAGGTTCCGGGCACACTTGGCTTTCGACAAGGTTCCGGGAACCTTACCATGGTTTCGAGCAGCCAGAGCCTGGATTGTGCCAAAGTTCTGGAATCACCGGAACACCAATTTTGAAACATCCTGGAAACCCAGAGTTTGGGGAACGAGGGTTCCGGCAAGGTTCCAGCAACACTGGGTTCCGACAAGGTTCCGAGAACCACCACAGATGCGGACCCACAGTTTGGATATACTTCCTGGATTATGCCACAGGTTCCGGACAGGGACAAGGTCAGAGTTCTGGCAAGGTTCCGAGGTTCCGGAAACAACCCAGGGGTCGGATATACGCCGTGGGTTGTACCAAGGTTCATGCTACGGACAGGGTCCCAGAAAACCAATTTGCAAGGAAACCAAGGTTCCAGGACCAAAAGGGCCCGGTCAACGAGCAATCGCTGACAGGGGGGGGACAGCGTGACAATAAATCAGCGCGTCTCGGTTCCGGAAACCCAGGTTTCCAATATACGCTGTGGGTTGCGCCAAGGTTCCGGAAACGAGGGTTCCAGGAAGACAAGGTTCCAGGGACACAAGGTTCCAGGAACACAAGGGATTCCGGAAATCCCCCAGCCAATCTTGGGTGCTTTGTGGCCCCTCACTGAATTCCGAATTCATGTTCGTTTGCTCAGTGGGCGCACAGCGTCGGTCGACTGACCTGTTCTGATGTTGCTGTAAAATCTTCTGTTTGAACTGTTCCGATGTCGCATCTACCAAAGCACATGCCACATCAAGCAATTAAGTTCGATGCCTTGGAACACCTAAATATTGGCAGCAAACCTGTGTGAGGCTTCTCGAAGCCAGGTAGATGATTTTTTGAAGCTAAGTGACCAAACAGCAACACACAATGAAACTTCAGACACAGTTGTGACACAACAACCAAGTATTGACATGAAACTAATTCTGGAATCATGATGGACAATTTGGCCAAAACCAACTGTTTCACCAATCACTTGCGCAAACTGACCGATGTTGTCCAAGCACGACAAGATAATCCCAAACCAACACACACACACAATTTTGTAAACACTTAATGACACACCGTGGTCTGCAAATACTGCCATTCGTTTGTAACCAAATGTATGTAAATTCAACTATGCGCGCTTTCTTAAAGAACATGTCTCATCCTGCCTTTGGTCCAAAAGGGGAGGGGGCAAGGCGGGCAAAAAATCGCCGAAGAGACTTAGGCTATGGAATCCTGTTCCTGCCATCATTAATCCGTTCTTGGGTTGCAAAGTTGGACCACTGTTTGAAACCAACCGCTGCCGGTTCCCGAGAGTTCCGGGCAAGGTTCCGGAACTCAGGGTTCCGGGAACCAGGGTTCGGGGCAAGGTTCCAGGTTCCGCAAACCAGGCAAGGTTCCAAGGTTCCGCAAACCAGACTTTCAAGCAAGGTTCTGGGAACAATGGGTTCTAGCTACCTTTTGGGTTCCGGGACGTCAAGATTCCGGGATCCCCAGGTTCTCGGCGCCAGGAAGGTTCCGGGTATACATGGCTTTCGACAAGGTTCCGGGAACCTTACCATGGTTTCGAGCGGTTCTGGAATCACCGGAATACCAATTTTGAAACATCCTGGAAACCCAGAGTTTGGGGAACGAGGGTTCCGGCAAGGTTCCAGCAACACTGGGTTCCGACAAGGTTCCGAGAACCACCGCGGATGCGGACCCATAGTTTGGATATATTTCCTGGATTATGCCACAGGTTCCGGACAGGGACAAGGTTGCGGAACAATAATTTTCAAGAAGCCCAGCCCAGGTTCCAGAAAACCAGGGTTCTGGCAAGGTTCCGAGGTTCCGGAAACAACCCAGGGGTCGGATATACGCCGTGGGTTGTACCAAGGTTCATGCTACGGACAGGGTCCCAGAAAACCAATTTGCAAGGAAACCAAGGTTCCAGGACCAAAATGGCCCGGTCAACGAGCAATCGCTGACAGGGGGGGGGACAGCGTGACAATAAATCAGCGCGTCTCGGTTCCGGAAACCCAGGGTTCCAATATACGCTGTGGGTTGCGCCAAGGTTCCGGAAACGAGTGTTTCAGGAAGAGAAGGTTCCAGGGACACAAGGTTCCAGGAACACAAGGGATTCCGGAAACCCCCCAGCCAATCTTGGCTGCTTTGTGGCCCCTCACTCACTGAATTCCGAATTCATGTTCGTTCGCTCAGTGGGCGCACAGCGTCGGTCGACTGACCTGTTCTGATGTTGCTGTAAAAATCTTCTGTTTGAACAAATCCGATGTCGCATCTACCAAAGCACATGCCACATCAAGCAATTAAGTTCGATGCCTTGGAACACCTAAATATTGGCAGCAAACCTGTGTGAGGCTTCTCGAAGCCAGGTAGATGATTTTTTGAAGCTAAGTGACCAAACAGCAACACACAATGAAACTTCAGACACAGTTGTGACACAACAACCAAGTATTGACATGAAACTAATTCTGGAACCATGATGGACAATTTGGCCAAAACCAACTGTTTGACCAATCACTTGCGCAAACTGACCGATGTTGTCCAAGCACGACAAGATAATCCCAAACCAACACACACACATACAATTTTGTAAACACTTAATGACACACCGTGGTCTGCAAATACTGCCATTCGTTTGTAACCAAATGTATGTAAATTCAACTATGCGCGCTTTCTTAAAGAACATGTCTCATCCTGCCTTTGGTCCAAAAGGGGAGGGGGCAAGGCGGGCAAAAAATCGCCGAAGAGACTTAGGCTATGGAATCCTGTTCCTGCCATCATTAATCCGTCTTGGGTTGCAAAGTTGGACCACTGTTTGAAACCAACCGCTGCCGGTTCCGGGAACCAGGGTTCCGGGCAAGGTTCCGGAACTCAGGGTTCCGGGAACCAGGGTTCGGGGCAAGGTTCCAGGAACCCAAGGTTCCGCAAACCAGACTTTCAAGCAAGGTTCTGGGAACAATGGGTTCTGGCTACCTTTTGGGTTCCGGGACGTCAAGGTTCCGGGATCCCCAGGTTCTCGGCGCCAGGAAGGTTCCGGGCACACTTGGCTTTCGACAAGGTTCCGGGAACCTTACCATGGTTTCGAGTGGTTCTGGAATTACCGGAATACCAATTTGAAACATCCTGGAAACCCAGAGTTTGGGAAACGAGGGTTCCGGCAAGGTTCCAGCAACACTGGGTTCCGACAAGGTTCCGAGAACCACCGCGGATGCGGACCCACAGTTTGGATATACTTCCTGGATTATGCCACAGGTTCCGGACAGGGACAAGGTTGCGGAACAACAATTTTCAAGAAGCCCAGCCCAGGTTCCAGAGAACCAGGGTTCTGGCAAGGTTCCGAGGTTCCGGAAACAACCCAGGGTCGGATATACGCCGTGGGTTGTACCAAGGTTCATGCTACGGACAGGGTCCCAGAAAACCAATTTTCAAGGAAACCAAGGTTCCAGGACCATATAGGCCCTGTCAACGAGCAATCGCTGACGGGGGGGCACAGCGTGACAATAAATCAGCGCGTCTCGGTTCCGCAAACCCAGGGTTCCAATATACGCTGTGGGTTGTGCCAAGGTTCCGGAAACGAGGGTTCCAGGAAGACAAGGTTCCAGGAACACAAGGGATTCCGGAAATCCCCCAGCCAATCTTGGGTGCTTTGTGGCGGGTTCCGCACATGCCGATTCATGTTCGTTTGCTCAGTGGGCGCACAGCGTCGGTCGACTGACCTGTTCTGATGTTGCTGTAAAATCTTCTGTTTGAACTGTTCCGATGTCGCATCTACCAAAGCACATGCCACATCAAGCAATTAAGTTCGATGCCTTGGAACACCTAAATATTGGCAGCAAACCTGTGTGAGGCTTCTCGAAGCCAGGTAGATGATTTTTTTAAAGCTAAGTGACCAAACAGCAACACACAATGAAACTTCAGACACAGTTGTGACACAACAACCAAGTATTGACATGAAACTAATTCTGGAATCATGATGGACAATTTGGCCAAAACCAACTGTTTCACCAATCACTTGCGCAAACTGACAGACGTTGTCCAAGCACGACAAGATAATCCCAAACCAACACATACACACAATTTTGTAAACACTTAATAACACACCGTGGTCTGCAAATACTGCCATTCGTTTGTAACCAAATGTATGTAAATTCAATTACGCGCGCTTTCTTAAAGAACATGTCTCATCTTGCCTTTGGTCCAAAAGGGGACGGGGCAGGGCGGGCAAAAAATCGCCGAAGAGACTTAGGCTATGGAATCCTGTTCCTGCCATCATTAATCCGTCTTGGGTTGCAAAGTTGGACCACTGTTTGAAACCAACCGCTGTTGGGGATCTACGTCGGCTTATTTTTGAATGAATTTTTAGGGTTTACTTCGACTTGGTTTAGGATTTCTTTAGGGTTAGTTTAGTTTAGTTTGGGGCTATTCAGGGTTGCTTTCAGAGTGTATTGATTTTTGTGTCTTTCTGCAAGGATTTAAGTTATCTATGATTAGTTTAGGTTTGGTTGACGCTTTATTTAGGTTTGTCTTCATTTGGGGCTCTTTTAAGACTTTGTTTGTTTCAGGCCCCAAAAATTGCAAATTACATAGCATATGTTGAAGAAATCAGTTCAAAAAGTGATTTTGGCATCGTCTTAGGTAAGAGCAAAAATGCAACGAGATGCAGGCAATGTCAATATTTTGTTTGTTGACAGTTTGCAAAAAAAAACTGGTGCCGAAACAACACAGCAGATTGCAGTCCCATATGATTTTCAGTCGATTTCGGGCAAACGTCAGCCCCCGAAAGATATCGATATATGTATGTATGTATGTATGTATGTATGTATGTATGTATGTATGTTATGTTATGTTATGTAATGTAATGTAATGTAATGTAATGTAATGTAATGTAATGTAATGTATGTATGTATGTATGTATGTATATATATCATATCATATAATATGTATACATACAATACTCGCATGAAACCAAACATACGAGATGGCTTGTCAGAAATAGAGGCTCGGCCCGCAATGCCATGAAATACTGGCACCAGCCAGGATTGCTGGCATCCACTAGATTTTGGAAAACGACAAACAGCTGACCGGTAGGGAGAACAGCAAACCAGGGTCACTCAGCATGTAGCGACTGTAGTGCTTGCTGCTTGAATCTCTTGGCGCAAGACCTTCCTTCATAAGGAGGCGCTGAAGTACAATTGTAGTGTGGTAAACCTTTAAGCAGACTATGTCCATATATTGCGATAAATGGGTGGTAACAACCATCCCCCAAATTGTTGTTGTTTCTGGCATTGAGTGATTGCCACATTCATCCCCGCTAATGATCGAAGTCACAGTGTCTGGGACCCCAACATGAACGGATCCCATACAAGATCGGGCCCCCAAACGTGAAGTTGGTTTATAACTAGGTATATAGAGGATCTTTATGGAAGATACATACATATATATATATATACACATATATATATATACACATATATATATATATCTATAGTAACCCCGAAAACGATAGAAACAAGTGCTTCTGGGATGGTAGCTCGATGGTATTTTTCCGAAGATAAAAATCGAGGTGTCCAACTCAACTCGTTCTCTATTTTGGGGTTAGACATAAAGCTGATGTGGATTAACCAACACGCATAACTGACATAAACTGGAGGGCACCGCAGGTAGCACTTTCCCTCAGGAGGATCATTCCACTTGGTAAGTGATATTCTAATCTTGGTTCGATTTGGTCCTCGATTCCTAACATTATCCCATTTGGGGTCTGAAATTCGTGTACCAAACTCCATTGGATTATCCTCATTTTCCCTCTTCAAATAATCATTTAGAGGATTTTACAGGTATCCACCATTTTCCATATGCATGTTTTTTAATAAGTAGGTGCAATTGATGAAACCAGCCATTTGGCTACCTCTTTGTGTATTTGGGGTGAACTTCGAGCTGGCTACCGCAGTAGGTTATAATCCCAGTTACGATCGCCAGTTCCTTTCTTTTGGTCCTCCAAGCACCAGGCTGATGGCCATTGACGATGCATTGGGCCGTCTGCAGGTCATCAATTTTCCGGGTCCTGTTGAGGTGCTGAATTGGCAAAAAAGTGACATCAAGGATTATATGTTATATCTTATAATTATATATATATATACACATATTATTGCACATTATTGTAGATTATATCCAAAATAGAGGAAACCGAGAAGGACGTACGGTAGAATATAGGGAGGGGAAGGGGGAGGAAAAAAGGAAGGACCATAGGAAGAAAAACGGGAGGATACTAGGGATAGGGTCACCAACTTCCTAAGTAGTTAACCTAATCAACTTATAGGTTATACCATTCCTATTAACTTAGGTAATAATCATGAATTATTAACCATCATTCCCTACTAAGCTACTTCTAGGTCACCAACGTTGGGGGGCCGCCGTAGGAACAGCGGCAGAGTGAGCAACTTCAGCCGGAGCAACTCCAACAGCTTCTCCTTCAGGTGCCGACTGAGTCAGGGGAGAACTGCCAGTGTACCCTTCGGCAAATATGGCATTACCCTCTGGTAAACCGACAAAAAACTATGGACAATTGCCATTTTTCATGGGTAAATCAACTATTTCTATGGCCATTTTCAATAGCTACGTTAAATTCCCAGAGGATAAAGTCATTAGAGAATCCCGCAAAAAATGGAGGTTTCAATGAGAGGATCATCTATAAATAGGTGATTTTCAAGAAAGCTGATTGATTACTGGAGGGTATCTCCCAGTTTTGCCCAAAAGGGCTATCAACTGAACATGTTTCAGCTACTGTTCTTGTGGAACTGGGATTTGGAAACTCCGAGCTATGTGGTGTCCCCCAGTTACAAGTTGAATTATATGCACCATTATCATTGAGTTTGGATATATCACCACAAACCTTGGTTAAAAAAATGAGGTACAAACCAACTTAGTCAACTGTGGGGCACCGCAGATAGCTATGTGAAATGATATCCAGGTTTTCAGGATGTTGCAGTTGCTGGTTGGTCCTGTCGACCGTGCCTCAAGTCTGATCTGCAACACTTTGCCGAGGCAAACATTGACAGTTTCTGGATCTTTAAGTTGACAACTCCATGGAATTCAGTTATATGCAACTTTACATATACGTATATATATATATAAGATGTATACGCGTGCGTGCATGTCTGTATGTATCTTTGTATCCAAGTAAGTCAGTAAGTGAGTGAATGAGTAAGTAAGTAAGTACGTAAGTAAGTAAGTGAGTGAGTAAGTAAGTAAACAAACAAACGAACGAACGAACGAACGAACAAACAAACAAACAAGCAAACAAACAAACAAACAAACAAGGAAGTATATACATACGCATATAAATACATATTATGTATATACATATATATGTTCTAGTCAACCCACTTGGTAGACCTTCGTTACAACCTCACGAACTCTCCGACGCCAGGCTGCAGCTTCTCAATCTGCGATGGACTCGAGTAGCAAAGTCTTGACTCTGACGGCTGAGGCGTGGACGACTAGGCAACGGTTCTGAGAATCTGTCTGATTGATGGGTTTCCCTTTCTACTTACCCTCTGGTAGTTCAACAGTTTAGCATGGATATGGAAAATCGGTAAATCAGGTAAGATCATCTATAAATGGTGATAACTTATGAAACCAATCGATAATATGCCAAATTCAACAGCCCTGGGGTGAATCAAATTCCACATCATCTATCCAGTGGTTAGGAGGGAAAGAGCTATGGCCAACCATATTCCCTGAATGGGGAACCAAGGAGCCACTTGTTGAGTTTCCCAACCACATGAGGGGACGAAGGGATCACCATTGCAGACCCTCCAAAGACAAGCCGAGGCCAACGGTCTCAGGTACAACATATCAAGATCCGCAAATGGTTGAGATTACGCTCCAATATGTATAAAATATGCAAAATTGGGATACAATTGGGATATAATGGGAATATAATATGGTATATAACCAACATACTATGATAGTTGGGTGTGTCTGGCAATGGAATACCCAACATTTTTCTTTTCAGCTTTAATGCGGAAAATGATGATTGACCAGTGGATCTAGGGGTATCATATTTTCTGACAAACCCAATATATGGCAAGGGAAAACCACCCAATTTGCATAAAGTTGGAGGACCAGAGGGTTGTCATGGCCAAGCTGCGGCAACTGTGGCCCTACTTGAGAGTGCCCAGAAATCGTAAGTGGGGACCATCTTAGAACTCATATGGAATAT